TCTCAGAGGTTTACCACTTCGGTGAAACCCACGAGCACGGGTATGGTGCTTACAAACCTAGAAACATAATCGGGACGAACTGGGATTCGAACCCACAATCATAGGTTTCTGGCGTGCCCAAGGGACGCAACTCTGCACAGCGAATCGCGGCGCCTTAGACGACTGGGCCACCCGTGCCCCCCCCAGCTTAGACTTAATCTCATCCTTTACTATCATGACTATTGAGGTTCATAATAACACATGTATGTAAATGAAATAAATACTATTGCTCCAGTGTATACGTCGACCTAGGTTAATTACAGCCATACAGATCATGACTGTTTGTCAGGGTGGTATATCATCCTAAAGCTTCAATGCTGTTGTTTCTCCATGTCGGAGACCTGCATGAAAGGCACCATCTCCTCACGCATACTGAGGACTTGTTCCCGGTAATGTCTGCTTCTTGTCATGTTTATGTTGAGTAATATATGGCTGTGATAACCACAATGACAAAGAGGGCTACTAAAACATGAAGAGAAGGTATGTGATACCCACAACATTATAGGTAATGGCCACATTGTCGTACGAGGGCCGATAAACTGTTATGGTTTGTTACTTATGTCCCTAATTCAACGTCTCGCTGATGAGCCAGTGTGTTTGCACAGGTTGGAGGGAAAAACAGGGAACATCTGTCTGCTAAGAAAATACATTGTAAAATCATTGTTTCTGTCAATGCATCTGTTGTGGTAACTTGTTTGTAGTTTAGACATTTCTTCTTGTTGTAAACAGCATGTTCATTGTTTTGGCAGATTTCGAGTAGCTGTGATTACTAAATCTTTCATACCCTGATTCGTCTTCTATTTTACGTAGGACTTATCTGAGACTATTGTTTTCCTCTGTAGTGCTAGTAGATACTTGAGAAAAATTACATTTAAACACCACTGGCTGTATCATGATTGTACACATAATATATGTTTTAATTAAACATTAAATCTGAAAGAAAACATTATATTTTTTTTATGATATGTGCCTAAAGAATTTCAAGCTTATATAATTTACTAAAATAAAGATGATATTATTTGTAGATGCCAAAAGAATTATAATTATCTTATCTGACAATAATAACTGAGGCAGTCAAATATTTACAAAAACTTTTCTACAAAATGTAAGGAGTTTCCAAACACTTCTTCATGCAGTCAGTGATAGAGTGGTAATATCTGTGACTTGGTGGAAGTTTGTATCTGAGGTGGGAAGATTTCATTCTCTCTTCTGTTATTATGTTTGTATGAAGGATCTCAACATGGCAGCATCTGAATAATGCAGATGTATTATTGTGAACCTGACACTTGTTAGGGAAAATAAAAGGTATATCGATCAATACAGTGACAGTTTAAACAAAATAAACCATGCCAATTAGACTGGAAAAGGGGTATTAGGGTTAGCAGTTCCAACAACTCACGGGGCGGTGGGGAAGCCTAGTGGTTAAAGTGTTCGCTTTTCACGCCAAAGGCCAAGGTTGGACCTCCCAGATGGGTACAATGTGTGAAGCCCATTTCTGGTGTCACCTACTATGATATTGCTGGAATATTGCTAAGAGCGGCGTAAAACCATACTCTCTCACTCACTCCTATAAGTCACACTGGAGAAAAAGTATGGGTATAGTTCTTTTAGCCCAGGTGGACATGGTCAGTGTGGTGGTTCGTGACACAGCATGTGGTACCGGCTAGTATGGTCAGGGCATGTATTGAAGGGACCGGGGCCATGGTGGCAGGAGATACGGCCTCTGCCTGGAGAGTGTAGGGTCAGTGTGGTGGTTCGTGACGCAGCATGTGGTACCGGCTAGTATGGTCAGGGCATGTATTGAAGGGACTGGGGCCATGGTTGCAGGTGTTACGGCCTCTGCCTGGAGAGTGTAGGGTCAGTGTGGTGGTTCGTGACACAGCATGTGGTACCGGCTAGTATGGTCAGGGCATGTATTGAAGGGACTGGGGCCATGGTTGCACTAGATACGGCCTCTGCCTGGAGAGTGTAAGGTCAGTGGTTCGATGCCCCAGCACGGCATACCATTCAACTTATATGATAGTACTTGTTGTTAATCTGCATTTAGGCGATAAAACAAGGATTGATCGACTTGGAGTCAGTATGCTGTGTCTGAATGGGTCAATGTTAAAGTGCGTCATGATATCTTCCTGGGCTAGAACTATAAAGCCGGTATTAATCTGGATGAGGACTAGCAGCCACACATGCACACACCGGCATGCACATCGCCATATATGTGCAATAATCTGGAACTCGACATTAAATCCATTTCACCTCACCTGTATTATTGGATCCCATTGAGAAAAAGAAATTCCTATAGTTTTTATTTTAAAGAGCACATATAAGTCAATCCTCTTCAGTTTAAGAAGTATTGTTAAACCATATTAACTCAAGACTCTCTTACCCTATTTGCTGTAATAAGCACCCTGGGTGCTAGAAAAATTCCAAATTAGGTGCTTATTAAAACATACACAAATCAAATTTTTGTGAGAGATAAAGTGATAAACAGCAATTAAACCCAACATTTTTTTTATAGTTACAAGGAAATTGTATATCTATTCTACACAGCTGTGTTTCATGTTAAGAAATATGTAATATACAAAAGAAAATAAGGACTTTGTAGTGAATGCTTTGATAGATTCCTCACAGATTGGTCTAGAAGTCTCTAGAAGGGGCACTTATTTGGAACAGGGTGCTAAATATGGTGAATACTGTTACTGTATATTTCATGTAGGACCACTTCTACATATTGTAACTTTGTAACAATGTAACTGACAGAAGCTGATATTGCACTATGGTCTATAATTATCCCCCGCCGCGCGAAAGCGCGAAGCGGGGGATATAGTATTCACGACCGTCCGTACGTCCGTCCGTCCCACCTGTTTGTTGCCGCGATATCTCAAGAACTAAACACTGGATTGTCTTCATATTTGGAACTATGGTGTATATACAGACTCCGCAGACACCAGTCAGTTTTGGTGACCTTGATCCCATTTTCAAGGTCACAGCAGACAAATCTGCTTTTAGAGTTGGAAAACGGTGTTGCCGCGATATCTCAAGAACTAAACACTGGATTGTCTTCATATTTGGAACTATGGTGTATATACAGACACCGCAGACACCAGTCGGTTTTGGTGACCTTGACCCCATTTTCAAGGTCACAGCAGGCAAATCTGCTTTTGGAGTTAGAAAACGGTGTTGCCGCGATATCTCAAGAACTAATCGCTGGATTGTCTTCATATTTGGAACTATAGTGTATATACAGACACCGCATACACCTGTCAGATTTGGTGACCTTGACCCCATTTTCAAGGTCACAGCAGGCAAATCTGTTTTTGGAGTTGGAAAACGGTGTTGCCACAATATCTCAAGAACTAATCGCTGGATTGTCTTCATATTTGGTACTATGGTGTATATGGCGGGGGATATTTCGTCACTCTGTGACAAATACTTGTTCAATATTATGTTTTGGTGGTTCCATTTCTTGTGAACAACTGGTATCATCACTGGTTTTTAGTGATCCATTTATGTAGTTTTGAAAAATGGGGAATATAGCGATGAGCATGTCCGTCAGCCGTCTGTCTACTGTTTCTGGATCAGAACTCAGAACGTTTTGAAGCTTGCTTGATACATTTGTCGAGTGGTGAACTGGTGCCTTTTGATGATTTTGGATATTTACTTTTTTTTTTTTACTTGAACCAATGAAAGATTTTTCATCCAAACTTGGTACATATATTAACCAGGGGCTGAAGTGCTGCCTTTTGCTATTGTTGGGGCCGGGGTGATTTGTCATCTTCTGATGATTTGGGTTTGTTTTGTTTTTGATTTTTAATGTTTTCATGACAAGTTGGACTTATTACACTGAAAATGATGGTAGTGTTCGTTTCCAGAGCAGAACTCAAAAACCATATCATATTTCTGAATGAAACTTTCTATACAGATCAGTCTAGTGGTGAACTGGTGCCTTTTCATAATTTGGGATTTTTATTTTGTTTGTTTTTTAAGTTTGTTTTCATGCCGACAAGTTGGACTTACACTGAATATGAGGGAAGTGCTCGTTTCCTGAGCAGAACACCAAAACCGTTGAATATTTCTTGATGAAACATACTGTGCAGATACCTTTTGATGATTTGGGTTTTGAAAAATAAGTGGGGCATAAGTAGCCAACTTAATTTCCGAATTGCCCCAGAACTGTGGGAAATGTCATCTCCTGATGACTCTTGGTTCTCCTTTTGTGCCGGAGGGAATCTGTTACGTTGTCTGGTCAAGACTGGTGGTTCTTGGGCGCTGACATTGAATACTTCCATTCTTATATACTGAAATCTTTATGTTGAAGTGGGCATATGTACTAAGATGCAGTTTTCCAAGTCTTTATTAGGTTAAGCTGATGCCACCGTTGCACTAGAACATTGTAGAATGAAGTCTAACATTTGACCTTCATCTTTCACACAAAGGGATCATGGCCTAACATTGTCACATTTCATACACTTGAACATTTACAACAGTTGATGATGTCTGGGATCAGATACAGCCAGCTTAGCTCCCAGGAAGCCAGATCCATCTGTTTCCCACTATAACAACCCCATACAATTAACTTGGTGTTAAGCACAGGCTCCAGTAGACTGCCGGCATTAGATACATTTGGGATGACAGAACGCCCTTCCCATGACATCTTCAAGAAGCATCAAGCATCCGTCCTGGCAAACAGTTGAGGCTGGTGGTCTACTGGCAAAGGACTGTCAAATAATTAAGGATTATATAACACGACATCTTACCCTTTCTCATAATGAACATTTAGTTACATGATGGACGCGGTGGGTTATAAAAAAGATATAAAAGCTAGCAAATCTAATTATGTCTAAGAGTTTGATTTTGTCAGGCCTTGGAGTATTTCCTGTTCATACAGGACACAGCTTGTCTGGAGAATGTCTGTGTTTTTCCACATGGATGTCTTGTTAACTCTATTTTGTTGTTGCTTGCAGTGGAGCGCTTCCCTCCTCGTCCCAGGATGTTAAGATTACGTTGGTAACTGCGGACAGAGATCCAGACCAGGGGTCCAAGATCACAGGATGTCGCGCTATCGAGTGCGCAACTTGTTCAAATTCAGAACAAAAAGTACCACAGATGTAAGTGATGACGATTCTTTTAATATGAAGGAAGTAATTTTGTGCTGCAGTGTTATATTGCTCTATTTATTTGTTATGTTAAAAAGTGAAGGGTCTTTGTAAGGAGGAGATATCACTCAATCCAAAATTTTGTCAGCATGTTATTCTAAGAAGTTATTTATTACTGCAACTGGGATTCACATGGGCCGTGTTTAGAGGTGTGATCATGGTGTCACAACCGCGATTCTGTTGGGATATTGGAGTTGCAACATTCGTAATGCCACAGTGCCTTTCTGAACCATGACGTAGGCTTGTTACTCAGAAGTAGAATACAAGATTTTCTTGTGTATAGTGCACACTTTTCCACCAAAATAATACAGCTGTATGGATGGAGGTGTGCATCATACATGCAGACAATGAGTTTTGATTATTTTTCCCAATGCAATGACATTACTGTGAGAACGTAAGATAGGAAATAGCTTGACAACCACCCCATAGTGAAGTACGCAAGTTGGTCCTGTTATTACACTATCTGGTTATAAAAAGTGATCCTTTTATATCTGGCCTTATATTTGTATTCTCTTTTATAAGTTTTATTCCAAATTCTATCCAATTATCCTTTCATTAATTTTGGTGATGTGTGTTGGCTTGACGGTCAGTCACCCTCCCACCTCCAATATGTTCCCGGATGTGTGTTGGTTTGACTGTCAGTCACCCTCTCACCTCCAATATGTTCCTGATGAGTGTTGGCTTGACTTTCACCTCCAATATGTTCCCGGATGTGTGTTGGCTTGACTGTCAGTCACCCTCTCACCTCCAATATGTTCCCTGATGTGTGTTGGCTTGACTGTCAGTCACCCTCTCACCTCCAATATGTTCCCTGATGTGTGTTGGCTTGACTGTCAGTCACCCTCCCACCTCCAATATGTTCCCTGACGTGGGTTGGCTTGACTGTCAGTCACCCTCTCACCTCCAATATGTTCCCTGATGTGTGTTTGTTTGACGGTCAGTCACCCTCTCACCTCCAATATGTTCCCGGATGTGTGTTGGCTTGACCGTGAGTCACCCTCCCACCTCCAATATGTTCCCTGATGTGTGTTGGTTTGACTGTCAGTCACCCTCTCACCTCCAATATGTTCCCTGACGTGTGTTGGTTTGACTGTCAGTCACCCTCTCACCTCCAATATGTTCCCTGATGTGTGTTGGCTTGACTGTCAGTCACCCTCTCACCTCCAATATGTTCCTGATGTGTGTTGGCTTGGCTGTCAGTCACCCTCCCACCTCCAATATGTTCCCTGACGTGTGTTGGCTTGACTGTCAGTCACCCTCTCACCTCCAATATGTTCCCTGATGTGTGTTGGCTTGACTGTCAGTCACCCTCTCTCCTCCAATATGTTCCTGATGTGTGTTGGCTTGACTGTCAGTCACCCTCTCACCTCCAATATGTTCCTGATGTGTGTTGGCTTGGCTGTCAGTCACCCTCTCACCTCCAATATGTTCCCTGACGTGTGTTGGCTTGACTGTCAGTCACCCTCTCACCTCCAATATGTTCCTGATGTGTGTTGGCTTGACTGTCAGTCACCCTCTCACCTCCAATATGTTCCCTGATGTGTGTTGGCTTGATTGTCAGTCACCCTCTCACCTCCAATATGTTCCCGGATGTGTGTTGGCTTGACTGTCAGTCACCCTCCCACCTCCAATATGTTCCCTGATGTGTGTTGGCTTGACTGTCAGTCACCCTCTCACCTCCAATATGTTCCCTGATGTGTGTTGGCTTGACTGTCAGTCACCCTCTCACCTCCAATATGTTCCCTGATGTGTGTTGGCTTGACTGTCAGTCACCCTCTCACCTCCAATATGTTCCTGATGTGTGTTGGCTTGACTGTCAGTCACCCTCTCACCTCCAATATGTTCCCTGACGTGTGTTGGCTTGACCGTGAGTCACCCTCCCACCTCCAATATGTTCCCTGATGTGTGTTGGTTTGACTGTCAGTCACCCTCCCACCTCCAATATGTTCCCTGATGTGTGTTGGCTTGACTGTCAGTCACCCTCCCACCTCCAATATGTTCCTGATGTGTGTTGGCTTGGCTGTCAGTCACCCTCCCACCTCCAATATGTTCCCTGACGTGGGTTGGCTTGACTGTCAGTCACCCTCTCACCTCCAATATGTTCCTGATGTGTGTTGGCTTGGCTGTCAGTCACCCTCTCACCTCCAATATGGTCCCTGACGTGGGTTGGCTTGACTGTCAGTCACCCTCTCACCTCCAATATGTTCCCGGATGTGTGTTGGCTTGACCGTGAGTCACCCTCCCACCTCCAATATGTTCCCTGATGTGTGTTTGTTTGACGGTCAGTCACCCTCTCACCTCCAATATGTTCCCGGATGTGTGTTGGCTTGACCGTGAGTCACCCTCCCACCTCCAATATGTTCCCTGATGTGTGTTGGCTTGACCGTGAGTCACCCTCCCACCTCCAATATGTTCCCTGATGTGTGTTGGTTTGACTGTCAGTCACCCTCCCACCTCCAATATGTTCCCTGACATGTGTTGGCTTGACTGTGAGTCACCCTCCCACCTCCAATATGTTCCCGGATGTGTGTTGGCTTGACTGTCAGTCACCCTCTCACCTCCAATATGTTCCCTGATGTGTGTTGGCTTGACTGTCAGTCACCCTCTCACCTCCAATATGTTCCCTGACGTGGGTTGGCTTGATTGTCAGTCACCCTCTCACCTCCAATATGTTCCCTGATGTGTGTTGGCTTGACTTTCACCTCCAATATGTTCCTGATGTGTGTTGGCTTGGCTGTCAGTCACCCTCCCACCTCCAATATGTTCCCTGGCGTGTGTTGGCTTGACTGTCAGTCACCCTCTCACCTCCAATATGTTCCTGATGTGTGTTGGCTTGGCTGTCAGTCACCCTCCCACCTCCAATATGTTCCCTGGCGTGTGTTGGCTTGACTGTCAGTCACCCTCCCACCTCCAATATGTTCCCTGATGAGTGTTGGCTTGACTTTCACCTCCAATATGTTCCCTGATGTGTGTTGGCTTGACTGTCAGTCACCCTCTCACCTCCAATATGTTCCCTGATGTGTGTTGGCTTGACTGTCAGTCACCCTCTCACCTCCAATATGTTCCCTGATGTGTGTTGGCTTGACTGTCAGTCACCCTCTCACCTCCAATATGTTCCCTGATGTGTGTTGGCTTGACTGTCAGTCACCCTCTCACCTCCAATATGTTCCCTGATGTGTGTTGGCTTGACTTTCACCTCCAATATGTTCCTGATGTGTGTTGGCTTGGCTGTCAGTCACCCTCCCACCTCCAATATGTTCCCTGGCGTGTGTTGGCTTGACTGTCAGTCACCCTCTCACCTCCAATATGTTCCTGATGTGTGTTGGCTTGGCTGTCAGTCACCCTCCCACCTCCAATATGTTCCCTGGCGTGTGTTGGCTTGACTGTCAGTCACCCTCTCACCTCCAATATGTTCCCTGATGTGTGTTGGCTTGACTGTCAGTCACCCTCTCACCTCCAATATGTTCCCTGATGTGTGTTGGCTTGACCGTGAGTCACCCTCTCACCTCCAATATGTTCCCTGATGTGTGTTGGCTTGACTGTCAGTCACCCTCTCACCTCCAATATGTTCCCTGATGTGTGTTGGCTTGACTGTCAGTCACCCTCTCACCTCCAATATGTTCCCTGATGTGTGTTGGCTTGACTGTCAGTCACCCTCTCACCTCCAATATGTTCCCTGATGTGTGTTGGCTTGACTGTCAGTCACCCTCTCACCTCCAATATGTTCCCTGATGTGTGTTGGCTTGACTTTCACCTCCAATATGTTCCTGATGTGTGTTGGCTTGGCTGTCAGTCACCCTCCCACCTCCAATATGTTCCCTGGCGTGTGTTGGCTTGACTGTCAGTCACCCTCTCACCTCCAATATGTTCCCTGATGTGTGTTGGCTTGACTGTCAGTCACCCTCTCACCTCCAATATGTTCCCTGATGTGTGTTGGCTTGACTTTCACCTCCAATATGTTCCTGATGTGTGTTGGCTTGGCTGTCAGTCACCCTCCCACCTCCAATATGTTCCCTGGCGTGTGTTGGCTTGACTGTCAGTCACCCTCTCACCTCCAATATGTTCCTGATGTGTGTTGGCTTGGCTGTCAGTCACCCTCCCACCTCCAATATGTTCCCTGGCGTGTGTTGGCTTGACTGTCAGTCACCCTCTCACCTCCAATATGTTCCCTGATGTGTGTTGGCTTGACTGTCAGTCACCCTCTCACCTCCAATATGTTCCCTGATGTGTGTTGGCTTGATTGTCAGTCACCCTCCCACCTCCAATATGTTCCCTGATGTGTGTTGGCTTGACTGTCAGTCACCCTCTCACCTCCAATATGTTCCCTGATGTGTGTTGGCTTGACTTTCACCTCCAATATGTTCCTGATGTGTGTTGGCTTGGCTGTCAGTCACCCTCCCACCTCCAATATGTTCCCTGGCGTGTGTTGGCTTGACTGTCAGTCACCCTCTCACCTCCAATATGTTCCTGATGTGTGTTGGCTTGGCTGTCAGTCACCCTCCCACCTCCAATATGTTCCCTGGCGTGTGTTGGCTTGACTGTCAGTCACCCTCTCACCTCCAATATGTTCCCTGATGTGTGTTGGCTTGACTGTCAGTCACCCTCCCACCTCCAATATGTTCCCAGATGTGTGTTGGCTTGACTGTCAGTCACCCTCCCACCTCCAATATGTTCCCTGATGTGTGTTGGCTTGACTGTCAGTCACCCTCTCACCTCCAATATGTTCCCTGATGTGTGTTGGCTTGACTGTCAGTCACCCTCCCACCTCCAATATGTTCCCAGATGTGTGTTGGCTTGACTGTCAGTCACCCTCCCACCTCCAATATGTTCCCTGATGTGTGTTGGCTTGACTTTCACCTCCAATATGTTCCCTGACGTGTGTTGGCTTGACTGTCAGTCACCCTCTCACCTCCAATATGTTCCCTGATGTGTGTTGGCTTGACTGTCAGTCACCCTCCCACCTCCAATATGTTCCCTGATGTGTGTTGGCTTGACTTTCACCTCCAATATGTTCCCTGACGTGTGTTGGCTTGACTGTCAGTCACCCTCTCACCTCCAATATGTTCCCTGACGTGTGTTGGCTTGACTGTCACTCACCCTCTCACCTCCAATATGTTCCCTGATGTGTGTTGGCTTGACTGTGAGTCACCCTCTCACCTCCAATATGTTCCCAGATGTGTGTTGGCTTGACTGTCAGTCACCCTCCCACCTCCAATATGTTCCCTGATGTGTGTTGGCTTGACTGTCAGTCACCCTCCCACCTCCAATATGTTCCCTGATGTGTGTTGGCTTGACTGTCAGTCACCCTCTCACCTCCAATATGTTCCCTGATGTGTGTTGGCTTGACTGTCAGTCACCCTCTCACCTCCAATATGTTCCCTGATGTGTGTTGGCTTGACTGTCAGTCACCCTCTCACCTCCAATATGTTCCCTGATGTGTGTTGGCTTGACTGTCAGTCACCCTCCCACCTCCAATATGTTCCCTGATGTGTGTTGGCTTGACTGTCAGTCACCCTCCCACCTCCAATATGTTCCTGATGTGTGTTGGCTTGATTGTCAGTCACCCTCTCACCTCCAATATGTTCCCTGACGTGTGTTGGCTTGACTGTCACTCACCCTCTCACCTCCAATATGTTCCCTGATGTGTGTTGGCTTGACTGTGAGTCACCCTCTCACCTCCAATATGTTCCCAGATGTGTGTTGGCTTGACTGTCAGTCACCCTCCCACCTCCAATATGTTCCCTGATGTGTGTTGGCTTGACTGTCAGTCACCCTCCCACCTCCAATATGTTCCCTGATGTGTGTTGGCTTGACTGTCAGTCACCCTCTCACCTCCAATATGTTCCCTGATGTGTGTTGGCTTGACTGTCAGTCACCCTCTCACCTCCAATATGTTCCCTGATGTGTGTTGGCTTGACTGTCAGTCACCCTCCCACCTCCAATATGTTCCCTGATGTGTGTTGGCTTGACTGTCAGTCACCCTCTCACCTCCAATATGTTCCCTGATGTGTGTTGGCTTGACTTTCACCTCCAATATGTTCCCTGACGTGTGTTGGCTTGACTGTCAGTCACCCTCTCACCTCCAATATGTTCCCTGATGTGTGTTGGCTTGACTGTCAGTCACCCTCTCACCTCCAATATGTTCCCTGATGTGTGTTGGCTTGACTGTCAGTCACCCTCCCACCTCCAATATGTTCCCTGACGTGTGTTGGCTTGACTGTCACTCACCCTCCCACCTCCAATATGTTCCCTGATGTGTGTTGGCTTGACTGTCAGTCACCCTCTCTCCTCCAATATGTTCCCTGATGTGTGTTGGCTTGACTTTCACCTCCAATATGTTCCCAGATGTGTGTTGGCTTGACTGTCAGTCACCCTCCCACCTCCAATATGTTCCCTGATGTGTGTTGGCTTGACTTTCAGTTGTCTGAATGGAACAAGAATGATGAGAAGCTGCTGAAAACGGTGGAGTCCGGTGATGTCAAGAAGGCGACCAGTATACTCAACAAGAAAACTCTCAACCCTACCAAACTCGGGCCTAAGGGACACTCAGTGTAAGTTACATAGTATCAGCGATCTGTACTCTGCATCAATATTTGCTGGGAAAAAAGTCAGCTGAGACACTTCAACATCAGTAAGCACTTGAAACACACTCCCAACAGCACAATGACCATGATGACATGAATAACACACGCCCACCAACACAATGAAATGAATCACACAGACCCACAGAGGCCCACCAACACAATGACATGAATCACACAGGCCCACCAACACAATGACATGAATCACAGAGGCCCACACAGGCCCACCAACACAATGACATGAATCAAACACACACACCAACACAATGACATGAATCACACAGACCCACACAGGCCCACCAACACAATGACATGAATCACACAGACCCACACAGGCCCACCAACACAATGACATGAATCACACAGGCCCACCAACACAATGACATGAATCACACAGGCCCACCAACACAATGACATGAATCACACAGGCCCACCAACACAATGACATGAATCACACAGGCCCACCAACACAATGACATGAATCACACAGGCCCACCAACACAATGACATGAATCACAGAGGCCCACCAACACAATGACATGAATCACACAGACCCACCAACACAATGACATGAATCACACAGGCCCACCAACACAATGACATGAATCACACAGGCCCACCAACACAATGAAATGAATCACACAGGCCCACCAACACAATGACATGAATCACACAGGCCCACCAACACAATGACATGAATCACACAGGCCCACCAACACAATGACATGAATCACACAGGCCCACCAACACAATGACATGAATCACACAGGCCCACCAACACAATGACATGAATCACACAGGCCCACCAACACAATGACATGAATCACACAGACCCACAGAGGCCCACCAACACAATGACATGAATCACACAGGCCCACCAACACAATGACATGAATCACACAGGCCCACCAACACAATGAAATGAATCACACAGGCCCACCAACACAATGACATGAATCACACAGGCCCACCAACACAATGACATGAATCACACAGGCCCACCAACACAATGACATGAATCACACAGACCCACAGAGGCCCACCAACACAATGACATGAATCACACAGGCCCACCAACACAATGACATGAATCACACACGCCCACCAACACAATGAAATGAATCACACAGACCCACAGAGGCCCACCAACACAATGACATGAATCACACAGGCCCACCAACACAATGACATGAATAACACATGCCCACCAACACAATGAAATGAATCACACAGACCCACAGAGGCCCACCAACGCAATGACATGAATCACACAGGCCCACCAACACAATGACATGAATCACACACACACAGGCCCACCAACACAATGACATAAATCACACACACACACACAGGCCCACCAACACAATGACATGAATCACAGAGGCCCACCAACACAATGACATGAATCACAGAGGCCCACCAACACAATGACATGAATCACACAGGCCCACCAACACAATGACATGAATCACACAGGCCCACCAACGCAATGACATGAATCACACAGACCCACAGAGGCCCACCAACACAATGACATGAATCACACAGGCCCACCAACACAATGACATGAATCACACAGGCCCACCAACGCAATGACATGAATCACACAGACCCACAGAGGCCCACCAACACAATGACATGAATCACACAGGCCCACCAACACAATGACATGAATCACACACACACACCAACACAATGACATGAATCACACAGGCCCACCAACACAATGACATGAATCACAGAGGCCCACCAACACAATGACATGAATCACACAGGCCCACCAACACAATGACATGAATCACACACACACAGGCCCACCAACACAATGACATAAATCACACACACACACACAGGCCCACCAACACAATGACATGAATCACAGAGGCCCACCAACACAATGACATGAATCACAGAGGCCCACCAACACAATGACATGAATCACACAGGCCCACCAACACAATGACATGAATCACACAGGCCCACCAACGCAATGACATGAATCACACAGACCCACAGAGGCCCACCAACACAATGACATGAATCACACAGGCCCACCAACACAATGACATGAATCACACAGGCCCACCAACGCAATGACATGAATCACACAGACCCACAGAGGCCCACCAACACAATGACATGAATCACACAGGCCCACCAACACAATGACATGAATCACACACACACACCAACACAATGACATGAATCACACAGGCCCACCAACACAATGACATGAATCACAGAGGCCCACCAACACAATGACATGAATCACACAGGCCCACCAACACAATGACATGAATCACAGAGGCCCACCAACACAATGACATGAATCACACAGGCCCACCAACGCAATGACATGAATCACACAGACCCACAGAGGCCCACCAACACAATGACATGAATCACACAGGCCCACCAACACAATGACATGAATCACACAGGCCCACCAACACAATGACATGAATCACAGAGGCCCACCAACACAATGACATGAATCACACAGGCCCACCAACACAATGACATGAATCACACACACACACCAACACAATGACATGAATCACACAGGCCCACCAACACAATGACATGAATCACAGAGGCCCACCAACACAATGACATGAATCACACAGGCCCACCAACACAATGACATGAATCACAGAGGCCCACCAACACAATGACATGAATCACACAGGCCCACCAACACAATGACATGAATCACAGAGGCCCACCAACACAATGACATGAATCACACAGGCCCACCAACACAATGACATGAATCACACAGGCCCACCAACACAATGACATGAATCACACAGGCCCACCAACACAATGACATGAATCACACAGGCCCACCAACACAATGACATGAATCACACAGGCCCACCAACACAATGACATGAATCACACAGACCCACACAGGTCCACCAACACAATGAAATGAATCACACAGACCCACAGAGGCCCACCAACACAATGACATGAATCACACAGACCCACAGAGGCCCACCAACACAATGACATGAATCACACAGGCCCACCAACACAATGAATGAATCACAGGCCCACCAACACAATGACATGAATCACACAGGCCCACCAACACAATGACATGAATCACACAGGCCCACCAACACAATGACATGAATCACACACACACACACAGGCCCACCAACACAATGACATGAATCACACAGGCCCACAGAGGCCAACCAATACAATGACATGAATCACCCAGGCCCACCAATACAATGACATGAATCACAGAGGCCCACCAACATAGTGACATGAATCACACAGGCCCACAGAGGCCCACCAACACAATGACATGAATCACACAGGCCCACCAACACAATGACATGAATCACAGAGGCCCACAGAGGCCCACCAACACAATGACATGAATCACAGAGGCCCACAGAGGCCCACCAACATAATGACATGAATCACACAGGCCCACAGAGGCCCACCAACACAATGACATGAATCACACAGGCCCACCAACACAATGACATGAATCACAGAGGCCCACAGAGGCCCACCAACACAATGACATGAATCACACACGCCCACCAACATAATGACATGAATCACACAGGCCCACAGAGGCCCACCAACACAATGACATGAATCACACAGGCCCACCAACACAATGACATGAATCACAGAGGCCCACCAACACAATGACATGAATCACAGAGGCCCACAGAGGCCCACCAACATAATGATATGAATCACAGAGGCCCAAACACAAAAATATTAAAAACACAGGCCCCGCAACACAATGTGCTTTCTGCAACATTGATATTCTGGTTATATGTTCGAGGAATGGTATTTCTCTGTCAACTCTCAGGATAGTGTCAAATCAAAGGATTTGAAATCTTGCATCTGAAAGTTTCTTTGAGAAGACTGAGCTTATTTGATTGTGAAATTACTATCATCAAGCTTTGAAATATTGAACAATTATTAATACTACTATTTCATACAAAATGTTTTGCTTCTTTTGCATGCAATGCATGTGCAGTCCTATCCAGAAGACTGTCATGGGGTGAACATGTAAACATGATTGTAACAGTATCTGTGATGTTTGTATTGCAGCCTACATATTGCATGTGCCGTAGGCAATGACCAGATAGTTGAACTCCTGCTGAAGTATAGTGATGATGTCAACGACCTCACGATACAAGGTGGGTACTGAGATGATGTCTTACACTACAAGGTGGGTACTGGGACGATGTCTTACACTACAAGGTGGGTACTGGGATGTCTTACACGACAAGGTGGGTACTAGGATGATGTCTTACACGACAAGGTGGGTACTGGGATGATGTCTCACACTACAAGGTGGGTACTGGGATGATGTCTTACACGACAAGGTGGGTACTGGGATGATGTCTTACACTACAAGGTGGGTACTGGGATGATGTCTTACACTACAAGGTGGGTACTGGGATGATGTCTCACACTACAAGATGGGTACTGGGATGATGTCTTACAATACAAGGTGGGTACTGGGATGATGTCTCACACTACAAGGTGGGTACTGGGATGATGTCTTACATTACAAGGTGGGTACTGGGATGATGTCTTACACTACAAGGTGGGTACAGGGATGATGTCTTACATTACAAGGTGGGTACAGGGATGATGTCTCACACTACAAGGTGGGTACTGGGATGATGTCTTACACTACAAGGTGGGTACTGGGATGATGTCTTACACTACAAGGTGGGTACAGGGATGATGTCTTACACTACAAGGTGGGTACTGGGATGATGTCTTACACTACAAGGTGGGTACTGGGATGATGTCTTACACTACAAGGTGGGTACTGGGATGATGTCTTACACTACAAGGTGGGTACTAGGATGATGTCTTACACTACAAGGTGGGTACTGGGATGATGTCTTACAATACAAGGTGGGTACTAGGATGATGTCTTACAATACAAGGTGGGTACTGGGATGATGTCTTACACTACAAGGTGGGTACTGGGATGATGTCTCACACTACAAGGTGGGTACTGGGATGATGTCTTACACTACAAGGTGGGTACTGGGATGATGTCTTACACTACAAGGTGGGTACTGGGATGATGTCTCACACTACAAGGTGGGTACTGGGATGATGTCTTACACGACAAGGTGGGTACTGGGATGATGTCTCACACTACAAGGTGGGTACTGGGATGATGTCTTACACTACAAGGTGGGTACTTGGATGATGTCTTACACTACAAGGTGGGTACAGGGATGATGTCTTACAATACAAGGTGGGTACTGGGATGATGTCTTACAATACAATGTAGTAACCATGGTGATGTCAGTGACCTGACAATACAATGTAGTTACCATGGTGATGTCAGTGACCTGACAATAAAAGATAGATACCAAGGGTATCATGGGCAGAGAGATACTTGACTAATGATTGATTTTCTGTAATACATGACCCTTCTAGAGATGCACGGAGAAATAATGGGGAACAGAGAAGTGTTGGCACATTTGATGCTTGAACACTGTAAAGAAATATGAGGAAATGATGGTAATCATGATGGCAACAGTTATGTAAACAGCTACCATGTGTATACAGGGATGAGCATCTTCTGCGGATCTGCAAATTTTTGTGACCACAAATTTTTTAAAATCTGATGGCTTCCCCCATAAACACCCTCAAATTATGGGCCACGCTCCATTGCAAAGAAGTTTCAGCTGAAAAGGCAAAGTATCCATTTTCATCCCTGTGTATAATTCACAAGGTCCGGGAGTTTAGAATTAATGTTTTGTTTTCTCCGTTTTCTACCCACAATTTTGTGCAGTCAATCTTTGTTCTCATGACAATGTGGAGGCTATTTGAAAGGGTTACATACAAGACACTATGCGCAAGGCTGCATCGATTTTTGCAAATTCATGACATGAAAAATGAACATGGATAGATTTCTTCTTTCCCGACTGTTGTCTTTAATTCTAAGAATTATGAGGGTAAAAGAAAAAGTATTCATTGAGAAATTGTTTCTTGACAAACATGCTTGATCATACAAGTAAAGAGAGTTAGGCACTCATCTTCAACTGCAAACATCAAATCCTTTTTGGGTTAAGACTCCACATGTCAACCCATCTCATGTGACCTTCATCTAAACCGTTGATAAATACTGCTTGATAGAAATATTACATTTCACAACAAAATAAGAGTTGTTTTTTCTCAAGAAGACATGTAGCTATTGGACAATATTGTCAGCTGGAGTAATATGAGGAGACTCTATTTCTGTCATCATGTTCTGTTCTGATGTTCCATCCAGGCAACACAGCTCTCCAGCTTGCAGCAGCCAAGGGACACAGCACAGTGGTGCAGAGACTGCTGCTGGTCAGTAGATCCACCTTATCACACACATACTATATGTCTTCATACATAATACAGGGAGTCTGTATGGACCTTAGGCAGCAGAGTTGTGTAACATAATGGCATTGTCTGGTGTAAATATACTGTAAATATACCGGATATATATTCGGGTTAGAATTGGTCTTCAGTAACCCATGCTTGTCATAAGAGGATACTTACAGGGTTGGCTGGTCGGACTCGCTGACTTGGTTGATGCATGTCATCATATCCAAATTGTGTAGATCAATGCACATCATGTGTCAATCACTTGGTTGTCTGGTCCAGACTTGATTATTTACAGACTGCTATGAGCGTGGAGTTAAGGGTTTTTTTAAAATTATAAACATATTTTGTACGACTTGATCAAGATTCAATTCGCAGATCATCAATGACTTTCCGAATCCTGGTTCACCCTGATTATGTTTCAAGTTTTTTTTAGCACAATACCCATGCTAGTGGTTCACCAAAGTAGTAAACGTCAAAGACCTCCATCACTTTCCTCCACATTGAGGTTACATGCCATGATATAACTGAAAAAATGTTCATAGCGGCGTGAAACCCAAATCACTCACTCACTATATTGATCACATTGTAAGTCACAACAGTGTATCATTACAGCCAGACTAATGTTCTTCTTTCAGGCTGGCGCTGACGTGGACATGCGAGACAGCAATGACATGACAGCCCTCCATCACACATGTGCAGGCGTCCATTTTGAATGTGTTCAAGTTCTCCTCAATGGCAACGCCAGTCCCAGAATTAAAGAGAAGGTACAAAAGGAAATGAGATAATTCAACAATTCCAAAATAGCTAACAGAATTTATTGTTATTTTTTTTTAACAAGCAGTCATAGAGTGGGTTCATATTATTGCATTTTAGCTGTTTCTGTTGTGCACCTGTTGTATATAGGCCACATATTTCTAATGTCATGCGCTTTGAGCACTTGTTGTTTGGAGTCAGGCTCTATATCAGTGGCCTATAATTATTACCGGTACTTTAGAAATTGTTGCCATATTAAAAAATATCCAACCACTGTACCAATTTGTTATGTATTAGTCAATGTATCTGCTGACATGAAAACAAATTTATTCTTGATCTTTGTCCATATGTCCATGTGATATTATGAAATCTTTGATGTTGCTAATATCCAAAAATGAAAGCAAAACCTTTTGGTTGTGGCACATATATAAACATGATTAAGTAAATGATATGGCTACATGAAATAATGTTACCTTTGTTTTGGCCAGTGTCCATATAAAATATGATAAGTTAAATTCACAGAAAATTGTCAAGGAAAATCTCAAGATAAGTTATTTAGATACAATTAATACTTAACACTGAAATGTGAAAATTATCAGTTTCAAGATATGATGAAATTTTTGTTGGCACTTGACAAGGGTTCAAGTTTGTCATGAAGTAAAATAAATCTGAATATGGTCTACTTGCAGACTGGGAAAACTCCTCTTTTCTTCGCATCTCATCGTGGAGATATGGCCACGTGTAAATGGCTGGTGGATAAGGGAGCTGAAGTTAATGCTCAGGACATGCATCGCATGTAAGTGGAGGAATATCTTGTAGATCTCCTGTCTTGTGGAAGAGCGTCTGCCTGGAGAGCGGAATGTCTGGGGTTCGATCCCCGGCTGCGTCATACCAAAAAATGTTAAAAGATGGTTCTTGTTGTTACCCTGTCTGGCGCTTGGCATTAAGGGGCTAAAACAAGGACTGGTCGGCTCGGAGTCAGTATACTGTGTCTGAGTAAGGTATTCATGTAAAACTGCAGCATGGTATCTCAGTGAGCTAGCAATATTAATCGTCATCAGTTTGGACTAGTACAAGGAGCACCCCACACACGTCGCTATGTAAGTGCAATAATCTTGGACGCGACGTTAAACCCCATTTAACCTTGTAGATCTCCTTCAGTCAAGCATCATTGTGATGTCACTGTCCCCTGACCTTGGGAGGCTGACACTGGAATGAGTGAGGGATAAAGCCACTTTGAACAGTATTTCAGTTATGACATAACATGTCAGTTTGATGTTGGAGGAAAGCAGGGTTTAGATATGTGTCTCCATGGTGAAACCCATGAGTCCCGGTATGAAGGTGACAAATGCAGAAACCATCAGGGCGAGCTCACATTTTTAAAAAACTTAATTGACGGAACTCTGTACAATGAATTGCAGTGACTTTGAAAACTGGGCAATCCATTCCACCTGGAACCAGAAAGAGAGCAAAGCATCAAAGTATATTGTCAAGACCTTGTGGTGGCTAGCTGTTATTATTATTATTCTCTTGTCTTGCACCAAGATCTGCTATCAATTCCTCACGTGTCGATTTCTAGATTCTTGCTGTGATGCTGCTGACATATTGCAACTCTAGCGCTTGTTTGAAAATTGTTTTAGCCAATCATTTAACGTATCATCAGAATAGAAGATATGACTTTTAATACTGAAGATATTGAATCACGAATAGAGAGAGTTCATAGTTCTGTTCCTTCACTGCCTCCTTATTACCATATCAGCTACAAGGGAAGCTCATCAACTGGCCCCGATATGTACCCTGGTCAGAATGAATGTTTATGGAGGACTACCACATGGCAGGGCACCTGCTGAATGAGTCTCCTAGGGATTGGGAACAGTTTCAGGTCACAGTTAGCAGGGTTGTTCTGCAAGATGACTTCCAGACCCTTGCTCCCATGGTCCAGTGTGGCGATTATGGGAAATGCCATCAGAAAAATATTTCTTTTCTTATTTGTATTATCATTTGTGCATTTTGTTGTAAAATACATCTTGTCACAATATGAATCTCAATAGTTGTGATACAATGCTTGATACAAAGACTTGACGCTTGTCTTGTTTAGGAAACATGTCCCATCGTCAAATAGCCTGACCACATATCCAACCAATGTATATAGTATCCCAGAGTCCATTATACCAACAATGACTAGGAACACTTACACTGTACATACTTATAAGTTATTTAATTATTCACTTTCATGCAGTATACCCTGTCCTGTTTAGTTTGTGTAGTCTGTGATTTTAGCCACAAGGCCGAATCCCAAGTTTAGTCAGATTTCTTTTGGTCGAGTAAGATTTGCTAATACTTGCACATACGTTAATACTAAGATCTATTGAAAACAATGTCATGTGACAAGTTGGGGAGAGCAGTCACAACAGTCTTTGGCACGGGTTGGATACATATATGACACTTACAAAACTATACTTGTATTGTGTCATATCACAATGCAGTGAAACTTTAAACTATCCATTCAGGAAGACATCATTGCCTTCAGTGTTTGTGGTATTGCGGTGGCTTGCTGGTCTTTAGGGCTGGAGGTGCAATCCTGGGTTTGTTAGCGGCATGCCTGTGTTTGTTGCAATCTCATTAAAATCAGATCTTAGTTCTCACTACCGCTAAACAAAGATCTGAGGACACCCCATTACGGGTCACGTCAGACCGACCTTGCTCAAACTTTGACCGACCAATGCAATGATTGACAAGAAGTCGACAATAGCCAATCAGAAGGCTACTTTCTCGTGCTTTACGACACTAATTTCATAATTGCGACTACGCTTTGAAACATATTTTGACAAAATCTCGATAAAAAGTTTGAAACCTGAACAAAAAAACATTCTGGAATGGCTAATAGATGGTCTAGATTGTGTGGATTCAGTCGTTAAGCCCATAACTATCGTTCGGAATACCCCGTGTTAAAGTTGTCAAGGTTGCATGATTAGAAATCACATTCCGACTGTCACACTCATGATCTGGCAAGCGGCGCTCTGGTCGGATGAAAGGTCGTTCTGACGTGACCCATAATGGGATGTCCTCAGATCTTTGTTTAGCGGTAGCGAGAACTACCGGGGTAAGATCTGATTTTAATGAGATTGGTGTTTGTTATTGTTTCTGTTGTGACTTTCCTTGCACATGAAACTGACATGCATTATTATCACCAGAGACCACATACCGGTATAGGGTCTCTGTTTTAACTGAAAGAACACTGATATTACAGTAGCATCTTTCCACTGGCGACGTCCTGCTGGCAACACTGATAGGTGTGGTGTGTCTCCTTATTGCAGGACCTCACTGATGCTGGCAGCCAAGGAGGGCCACGCGGAAGTCTGTCAGTTCCTGCTGAAGAAGGGAGCAAACCCGGACCATCGAGATGTGGAGGGTAAGAATTGATAACTGCACATTTCTGACATGCCTTCAGCATGAAGAATAATGAAGATAGGGTGTTAATTGTTCAGTTGCCGATCTTTATGTAATCTTGGGCGTTGGTAAGCCTAGTGGATAAGGCATTCCTTGGTCACACCAGATAGTGACATGGCTGGCGTATTGCTGAATTAATCACTATCATGATAAAGTGTTGACCACTTCATTAACACAACTGACTCACTAACAGACTGACTGACACACTCACTCACTCATTTACCATGCTATAAAAGTGCTGATTATTTCATTAACACAATTGACTCGCTCGCTCACTCACTCACTCACTCACTCACTCACTCACTCACTCACTCAGTGCAGAATGTTTCATTAGCACAATTCACTAAGTCACTGTAGGGCTCTAATGTAACGACATCCTGGACTAAGTGTAAGTGTGTAGCCAGGCCTCTAATTGGTCCTATCACTTGCTGGCAGGAACACCACCCTGGAGGTGTCTGGTGGGATCACACAAATCTGGGTCGTAAATCCAGGACAGAGTCAGCTCCTCTAACAGCAATTAGCTGTATCCCTTGGTACCCAAACTAGGTCAAATATAGACTTTGGGGTTAAGTGGGCCATCTGGCTACCATCAGTAGCAGAACATAGGACAAAATTGTTCCATATGTGGTAGAGCCAACTCTTATCATCATACTGATGTCAAGAGGAACTGATGAAAAATTGTAATTAACTTTTTACCTCACCTGCATTAAAGCCCACATGAGCTTATATCAAGGTCTGTTTGTTGGTCATCAGTCATTGATTCCTTGAAGTATCTTGGTATGGTGCACACACGATGCCATCAATCGGATTTTAAACATGTTTAGGGTGGTGGGGTAGCTTAGTGGTTAAACTGTTCGCTTGTCACGATGAATGACCAGGTTCACCCCCCGCTCGGATATTGCTGGAATATTGCTAAAAGCGGTGTGTAAAATCCAACTCACTCACTCACTTCAATATGTTTGTTTGTGGCCATTACTCTACAGTCAATTGTCAATTAGTCTACATTTAAAACTTTTTAAAATTTAATGAAATCTTGTTTATGCTTTGTGCTTTTTGTGATGTTTTAATTATTGATATACTTAATCATATGTTTCATATTTGCCCTTTTCGATATTGATGTTTATAGCAACTCGTGTCTGTTTGTCATTTGAAACTTTGACTGGTCCCTGAAGTTGTAGCCCAGAAACACTAAGAAGATTAATATAAAAAATGTCACCCACATGGGTTCATGTCCACATTGTTAAAATTTAGAAACATTTCATGTATATATGAATATCAAAGCTAACAACCTATCTCAAATATCTGTCTCTCCCAGCTGAGCACTGTGGTGGCACTATGTTTTGTATCACAATATATCCATGATCAGCATACAGCACTTCCAGCACATTTTCAGAAGCTGGAGTCATTATAACATGATTTAAGGGTAAATTTCAGAAGTTATCAGTTCTACTATTCATACTCTGTTGATACATCATAAGAAAAGCGAGTTCTGAGTTCTAGGTCGACAGTACCTCATGCTTGTCTCCCCTTGGGGATTCCAGGGCAGAACAGGTCACCAGTACCTCTTGCTTGTCTACCCTTGGGGATTCCAGGGCAGAACAGGTCACCAGTACCTCTTGCTTGTTTCACCTTGGAGATTCCAGGGCAGAACAGGTCACCAGTACCTCTTGCTTGTTTCACCTTGGGGATTTCAGGGCAGAACAGGTCACCAGTACCTATTGCTTGTTTCACCTTGGGGATTCCAGGGCAGAACAGGTCACCAGTACCTCTTGCTTGTTTCACCTTGGGGATTCCAGGGCAGAACAGGTCACCAGTACCTCTTGCTTGTTTCACCTTGGGGATTCCAGGGCAGAACAGGTCACCAGTACCTCTTGCTTGTTTCACCTTGGGGATTCCAGGGCAGAACAGGTCACCAGTACCTCTTGCTTGTTTCACCTTGGGGATTCCAGGGCAGAACAGGTCACCAGTACCTCATGCTTGTTTCACCTTGGGGATTCCAGGGCAGAATAGGTCACCAGTACCTCTAGGAAGGGCTTGGACGGGTACCTGAGTCCGGTAATGCTGTTACCTAGGTACTACTGTAGTTACCCCGACCCATGGTCATGTGACTCGATGTACTTTGATCAGTGTTCATGCTATCCACCACTGTTTGACCTAGATATCATTATTTACAGATAACTGTAATAAGAGCTGACGTACTGGTGACTGGCATTTACCACAATCGCTCTCTCCAAAGTACATGCGATGGTGTGACTTCCGTGGAATCCCCTGATAATCGTGGTCTGTGTGAGCAAGACCAGCACACTGACAGGCTGGTCGTCTTGTTGGATTAGCTGCTTGTGATGAATTCCCATCCTGGGGACTGTGCGTCAGTGGTGGGGCCACTTCTGGTGGAATGGGAATTTACATACGGAAATGACTCTTGTTAATGATGGGATGAGGATGAATTGATTTAGCTTCAACAATGAGAAATGATCAGGAAAATGTGGGCTAGTGTTTGAGGGGGTATTATTTGTAGGGAGACAGTTTGGTGATTATTTCATTGTTTGATTCTCGTTGTTGGGCCCATGAGGATAGTATCCATATTTCAGTAATGCTAATTTACCATATTATCCAGGACTGTTATGTGTTTTGTGAAAAGTCTAATGTGTCAGTTGGTTATGGTTTCTGAAGCTTAACCTACTTCGGGATTGGTGGAGAAAAGGTCCCTGAGTACCATGCATGTGTTCAGAGCCGACTGACATATATGAGGTGGCCACAATGAGTGACCTGGCTGAATTTGCCCCATGGCACAAAGCGATCTTAGCGCCACGATTATCGGAAGTCTATGTCAAAGTATCGGAATTAGGAAAGTCTTACCGCAAGACTGCTTTGTGGAATGGGGCCCTGGTGGTGTTGATAGTTGCTCATGCAGTTGACCACTGGTTTTACTGGTTTCAGATTTGATTCTTGTATCAGCTATAGCTAAAGTTGGAATATTTCTGATTGCAGCTAAACATTACACTCACTGACTTACTCACTCACTCTAAAACATCAATCTAAACAGATGATGATGCTTTGTTATTGTATAAAATGTCAAAAACATTCTCCTTTGTCAAAGCAATAAGACTTGAAGAACTAGCTAGACTGACATAGTCTTTGAAATCTTTTATTACACTATACATTTCTTGCCTCTAAAATTAAAACAAATAATTTTCATGATGCTGATTACATATGGATAGAGCTTGCTAGAGCTGACTAGACTTTCCTTAATAGATAGATAGATAGATAGATAGATAGATAGATAGGTTTTGTTTTCATAAAATACATATATTCCACAGTCATGGTGTAGGTCTAAGAACTAGGATACAGTATGCCAAAATGTCAAGTCTGTGAAAAAAAGCTGAAATTCATAGCAGAATATATACTTCTCAAAAGAAGTTAAAGAACATATTGCTTTAGGCAATCTGTCATGACATGACAGTAAATGAGTGAGTGAGTTGGGTTTAATGAAGCTTTCAACCATGGACTGATCGATAGCATGGCATGAACCATAGTATCAAAAAATCGGGTACTCTTTCACTTCTCTTGAGTAGTATATTTAACAAATGTGACCACCTAACATCTAAACCCCATGTGGTACTCTTCGTGCATACCAACCTAAATGTTGCTGGTTGATGCGCACTCACACCAACTGACAGTAAACAAGACATTCCTGAACACCAAGCATGTGGAAGGTTATCAGCATTAAACAGTTACGTTGCTCACTGCAAGGTGAGCACCTTGTGCTGGACCACAGACACTGCAAATGACAAATCTGTATGCATGATCACCTTCTTTAGTGCAATTGTAGCAATGTTTTGGGATAGTTTCTAACACTGTTATCAATACAAGTTATTATCGACACTGTTATCCGAACGTTATGTTTTTAGAGAGTTTAAAAAATGTTCTTCGACCTTATGTATTAGACTGCCTCCTTGGTCTAGTGGTAGAGCGTCAGCCTGGAGATCGGAAGGTCCGGGATTCGATTCCCGGCCGCGTCATACCAAAAGACGTTAAAAGATGGTACTTGTTGTTACCCTGTCTGGTGCTCGGCATTAAGGGGCTAAAACAAGGACTGGTCGGCTCGGAGTCAGTATACTGTGTCTGAGTGGGATATTCATGTTAAACTGCAGCATGGTATCTCAGTGAGCTAGCACTATAAATCGGCATCAGTCCGGACTAGTACAAGCAGCCACACAAACACACACACGTACATGCACGTCGCTATATAAGTGCAATAATCTTGGATGCGACGTTAAACCCCATTTCACCTCACCTCACCTTATGTATTATTATCATCGCCTTGATAAATCACACATTTTTTGTGGAGGGTCACACTAGGTATGATTAGTAATCAGTAAGCCAGAAGACATCACTCAAGACTGTTGTATTATGTATGAATGCGCCACTGCGATCATGAGAATAGACAAAATATGCATTGTTTCAATGCTAAAATGGTGCGATGTTAGGGTGTGTAAGAATCAGATAACTACACTCAAGTCTGTTACATACCATTTATCTTACAACTCGTTTAAACTTGTAGTAAAGATACAAGATCTGACAGGCACTTATGTAGTAACCTTTGTCAGTTGTATCTGGTCAATTGTGGTCATTTTTTTAAAAAGATAAAGTCTGAAAGAAAGGGACTTTAAGATATGATTGTGGTGAGACAATGCAGCCATGGTTGCCTGTGTTTGCCCTCCTAACCTTTGGTGCAGACAGGAGACTGTTCAAGATAATCACATTCACACATCCAGACTGATTCAAAACAAAGCAGGTCAAGTTGTTTTCTTTTGAAATTCAGCTTTTGTCCAATGTCACCCCAACCTCTGTCTGTGTGCCTATTGTGATGCATTATTCACTCGGAGCTTCTATGATCTCTTGGGCTGGAGAAACGTGAGTCAGGACAGCAGTGATGCGTTCTAGAGACGAAACTGTGATGCAAAATGACACGTGAAAGTTATTATGGCTAGAACAATGAGATGTCTCCAATACACACCCTGAAACAAGCGTATCAGTCAGAAACTCCTACTCAGTCTACAGTACCTCTGACAGTCTAGATTTCTCCAGTTTCACTTTTAGTGGCCGGTTAATGATTGGTAATAGGATGATTCCAAGAAATTATAGCTTTGCTGCGCCTGATAATGAATAGATACTCTGCGTTCCTTTCTCCTGCATATTAAAAGACAATTACAACCAAAACAACTTTAATAAATATTTTCGTTTCACAGACTTAGTGTCAGTCTAAATAATGAGTTATTAAGTTGCTTTTCTTTAAGGCCTAAAGTGAGCTACGATGGAATAAAATGCTTAAAATATTATTCTCATTCTCGTAAAATAACATTCCTAGTGGCGTGTTATTGTAAGTCGAGATGTAATCTTCCTGCATTTGACACAGTGCATTACCATTGAATCTTTTCACATAGTGTATTAGCTTCTCTTTCTGTGAGACGGACACTCATCATGAGTGGTCAAGGCTTGCTGGATCATGGGTTTGAATCTCAGATTTGCCTTGATTCTGGGTTTGTCAAGCTTCAGGGTTTCACCAAAGTGAGGTGAGGTGAAATTGGGTTTAACGTCGCGTCCATGATTATTGCACTTACTGTATATAGCAACATGCTTGCATATGTGTGTGTGTGGCTGCTTGTACTAGTTCGGACTGATGCCAATTTATGGTGCTAGCCAACTGAGAAAGTGCCACAGTTTAACATGAATACCCCTCTCAGACACCGGTCGACGGGTCCTTGTTTTTACATCTTAATGCCGAGTGCCAGACAGGGTAACAACAAGTACCATCTTTTAACGTCTTTTGGTTTGACGCAGCCGGGAACCCTTCCGCTCTCTGGATGGACGCTCTACCACTAGACCACGGAGGTCGTTTTTCACCAAAGTGGTAACCCTGTGGGACCGCTTCACTTTTGTCACGTTGAGCTGACACATCAGGATGTTACTGAAATACGGTTCACATCTTCACAACTCACTCTCATCCTGTGAACCTTGATTAGGAAGATGTTTTCACAGTGGATGTGGAGAGATATTTTTCCCTTCATAAATTCATGACACATTTTGACAAACAGGATGTATTTTTGTTTTGACCTTGCAGCCTGTATAGGTCCCAAGATGGTCATAACAGGAAACTTGCCTGTGAGGGCCTGAGTTATAATTTGCCTTCAGCAACCCATGCTTGTTGTACAAAGCTACTAATGGGATCGAGTGGCCAGACTCGCTAACGTGGTTGATGCATGTCATCATGTCCCAATTACATAGATCAATGCTCATGATGTCAATCACTGGATTGTCTGTTCCAGACGTAATTATTTACAGTTGCCTTGTCATAGCTAGGATGTTGCTGAGTGTGGGGTAATCAACAACAAACGTAGAGGATATTACATTGGAGCACATGATCTGACTCAGCGTCTTGGTGGCTTTGTGTCCTTGTGCCCCAGATGGATGGATAATTTTCAGACAGTGTCGTGCCTGGTCCAGACTTGTTTGCAGGAATATTGCTGACTGTTGAGTTACACTCACTCATTCACTCACCCGCCCACCACCCACCCACTCACTCACTCACTCACTCACTCACTCACTCACTCACTCACTCACTCACTCACTCACTCACTCACTCACTCACTCACTCACTCACTCACTCAATTTCTTTCAGGCAACAGTGTTGATAATCAGTATTATAAGATCAGTGAATGTGTTTCAGGCAACAATGCATTAGCGTATGCTCTCATCAGTGGCCATAATGACCTGAAAGAAGTATTTGCCCGTGCCCCAACTCGAGCATCATGGGATGTACATGCAAACAATGGTGAGTTAGGGAATAGTGGTGACGTTATATTTTTTGTGTTTGATGCACAGTAGAATTACCATTAGGTGTACTGTTTCTGTGATGCCCAGCTTTCCTATGCAGATACATGTATGGTGCAAAGTTGTGTCCCTTCACCTGGGGGTTTGAATCTGAATGCACTCAGATTATATATGGGGCGGCGGGGTAGTCTTGTGGGTAAAACATTCACTCGTCACGCCAAAGACCCGGGTTCAATGCCCCAAGTGGGTACAATGTGTGAAGCCCATTTCTGGTGCCCCCACCACGATATTGCTGGAATATTGCTAAAAGTGGCGTAAAACCCAACTTACTCACTCACCCACTGAGATTATCATATGACTGAAATAATGGTGTCAGGGGTATTATAAGCCATAACTATCACTCTTTCACTCTGTTATTGACTGACATTTGCTCAATATTTTTCTATGCTCATAAATGTCTTTTTTCGGTGTAATAATAAAAATAGATGCCATTCATAAGTTCATGACTTGTAAACTGTCATGACCACGAACAGGTATTGTGTTCCATTGTTTAAGGCAGACATAGAGTAAGATATGTCATGATGTTACAGTTACCTCCCCTAATGAACCACCAGGCGGTGCTTCAACAAGTCCTGTTCCGGAACCAGAGCCTGCACCAGTGGCTCCTCATCAGGTACATCCATTAGTTTCTCCACACTTAGGCATGGTAGTTTCTCTTGTGGGTTTCTAAAGACAATAGGGTTAACTGATGACTCATGTGGGTCTGACTTTTTATCAGACCTTGTACATCAGGAAGTTTATGATTCACATTATACTAAATGACTTCAGGGACATGTGCTGTGGCAAGACAGGGAGATGGAGTGTTTCTGTCATATCCATCACAGGCGAGTAGCATCATGAGGAAAATTAGAAAAGAAAGGTTGTCTTGAATCTGATCTGAACATATGGGAGAGATTGATTAAGTTTCTTCATTGTATTGATGTTTTCCTCTGTGTATTGTAGGTTGACATTGTAGGCGAGTTTGACGCCAGCGAGTCCCCTGCCATCCCTCGCCGAGAAGTTCAAACAGACTACGAGACAGACGATGAAGCTATAAAGGTATTGAGTGAATGGGTGTAGTCAGCAATATAAAAACTGTATCATGATGGCCTGAGTGTAATCAGGCCTGGACCAGTGAGCCCTGTGGTTACAAGAATGGGTGATATGCCACATCATCAATGAGGGCAACACAATCAGCCAGGTCATACGTTGTAACCTGCAGAGCGATGTGCCACATCATCAGAGAGGGCAACACACAATCAGCCAGGTCACACACAATCAGCCAGGTCATACCTTGTAACCTGCAGAGCGATGTGCCACATCACCAGAGAGGGCAACACAATCAGCCAGGTCATACGTTGTAACCTGCAGAGCGATGTGCCACATCATCAGAGAGGGCAACACAATCAGCCAGGTCATACATTGTAACCTGCAGAGCGATGTGCCACATCATCAGAGAGGGCAACACAATCAGCAAGGTCATACATTGTAACCTGCAGAGTGATATGCAACATGATCAGAGAGGGCAACACACAATCAGCCAGGTCATACGTTGTAACCTGCAGAGTGATATGCCACATGATCAGAGAGGGCAACACACAATCAGCCAGGTCATACATTGTAACCTGCAGAGTGATATGCCACATCATCAGAGAGAGCAACACACAATCAGACAGGTCACACACAATCAGCCAGGTCATACGTTGTAACCTGCAGAGCGGTGTGCCACATCATCAGAGAGGGCAACACACAATCAGCCAGGTCACACACAATCAGCCAGGTCATACGTTGTAACCTGCAGAGCGATAAGCCACATCATCAGAGAGGGCAACACACAATCAGCCAGGTCACACACAATCAGCCAGGTCATACATTGTAACCTGCAGAGCGATGTGCCACATCATCAGAGAGGGCAACACAATCAGCCAGGTCATACGTTGTAACCTGCAGAGCGATAAGCCACATCATCAGAGAGGGCAACACACAATCAGCCAGGTCACACACAATCAGCCAGGTCATACATTGTAACCTGCAGAGCGATGTGCCACATCATCAGAGAGGGCAACACAATCAGCCAGGTCATACGTTGTAACCTGCAGAGTGATATGCCACATCATCAGAGAGGGCAACACACAATCAGCCAGGTCATACATTGTAACCTGCAGAGCGATGTGCCACATCACCAGAGAGGGCAACACAATCAGCCAGGTCATACATTGTAACCTGCAGAGTGATATGCCACATCATCAGAGAGGGCAACACACAATCAGCCAGGTCATACGTTGTAACCTGCAGAGTGATATGCCACATCATCAGAGAGGGCAACACACAATCAGCCAGGTCATACGTTGTTACCTGCAGAGTGATATGCCACATGATCAGAGAGGGCAACACACAATCAGCCAGGTCATACATTGTAACCTGCAGAGTGATATGCCACATCATCAGAGAGAGCAACACACAATCAGACAGGTCACACACAATCAGCCAGGTCATACGTTGTAACCTGCAGAGCGGTGTGCCACATCATCAGAGAGGGCAACACACAATCAGCCAGGTCACACACAATCAGCCAGGTCATACGTTGTAACCTGCAGAGCGATAAGCCACATCATCAGAGAGGGCAACACACAATCAGCCAGGTCACACACAATCAGCCAGGTCATACATTGTAACCTGCAGAGCGATGTGCCACATCATCAGAGAGGGCAACACAATCAGCCAGGTCATACGTTGTAACCTGCAGAGTGATATGCCACATCATCAGAGAGGGCAACACACAATCAGCAAGGTCATACATTGTAACCTGCAGAGTGATATGCCACATCATCAGAGAGAGCAACACACAATCAGACAGGTCACACACAATCAGCCAGGTCATACGTTGTAACCTGCAGAGCGGTGTGCCACATCATCAGAGAGGGCAACACACAATCAGCCAGGTCACACACAATCAGCCAGGTCATACGTTGTAACCTGCAGAGCGATAAGCCACATCATCAGAGAGGGCAACACACAATCAGCCAGGTCACACACAATCAGCCAGGTCATACATTGTAACCTGCAGAGCGATGTGCCACATCATCAGAGAGGGCAACACAATCAGCCAGGTCATACGTTGTAACCTGCAGAGTGATATGCCACATCATCAGAGAGGGCAACACACAATCAGCCAGGTCATACATTGTAACCTGCAGAGCGATGTGCCACATCACCAGAGAGGGCAACACAATCAGCCAGGTCATACATTGTAACCTGCAGAGTGATATGCCACATCATCAGAGAGGGCAACACACAATCAGCCAGGTCATACGTTGTAACCTGCAGAGTGATATGCCACATGATCAGAGAGGGCAACACACAATCAGCCAGGTCATACATTGTAACCTGCAGAGTGATATGCCACATCATCAGAGAGAGCAACACACAATCAGACAGGTCACACACAATCAGCCAGGTCATACGTTGTAACCTGCAGAGCGGTGTGCCACATCATCAGAGAGGGCAACACACAATCAGCCAGGTCACACACAATCAGCCAGGTCATACGTTGTAACCTGCAGAGCGATAAGCCACATCATCAGAGAGGGCAACACACAATCAGCCAGGTCACACACAATCAGCCAGGTCATACATTGTAACCTGCAGAGCGATGTGCCACATCATCAGAGAGGGCAACACAATCAGCCAGGTCATACGTTGTAACCTGCAGAGTGATATGCCACATCATCAGAGAGGGCAACACACAATCAGCCAGGTCATACATTGTAACCTGCAGAGCGATGTGCCACATCACCAGAGAGGGCAACACAATCAGCCAGGTCATACATTGTAACCTGCAGAGTGATATGCCACATCATCAGAGAGGGCAACACACAATCAGCCAGGTCATACATTGTAACCTGCAGAGTGATATGCCACATCATCAGAGAGGGCAACACACAATCAGCAAGGTCATACATTGTAACCTGCAGAGTGATATGCCACATCATCAGAGAGGGCAACACACAATCAGCAAGGTCATACATTGTAACCTGCAGAGTGATATGCCACATCACCAGAGAGGGCAACACACAATCAGCAAGGTCATACATTGTAACCTGCAGAGTGATATGCCACATCATCAGAGAGGGCAACACACAATCAGCAAGGTCATACATTGTAACCTGCAGAGCGATGTGCCACATGATCAGAGAGGGCAACACACAATCAGCCAGGTCATACATTGTAACCTGCAGAGTGATATGCCACATCACCAGAGAGGGCAACACACAATCAGCCAGGTCATACGTTGTAACCTGCAGAGTGATATGCCACATCATCAGAGAGGGCAACACACAATCAGCCAGGTCATACGTTGTAACCTGCAGAGTGATATGCCACATCATCAGCCAGGTCACACACAATCAGCCAGGTCATACGTTGTAACCTGCAGAGCGATGTGCCACATCATCAGAGAGGGCAACACAATCAGCCAGGTCATACGTTGTAACCTGCAGAGTGATATGCCACATCATCAGAGAGGGCAACACACAATCAGCCAGGTCATACATTGTAACCTGCAGAGTGATATGCCACATCATCAGCCAGGTCACACACAATCAGCCAGGTCATACGTTGTAACCTGCAGAGCGATGTGCCACATCATCAGAGAGGGCAACACAATCAGCCAGGTCATACATTGTAACCTGCAGAGTGATATGCCACATCATCAGAGAGGGCAACACACAATCAGCCAGGTCATACATTGTAACCTGCAGAGTGATATGCCACATCATCAGAGAGAGCAACACACAATCAGACAGGTCACACACAATCAGCCAGGTCATACGTTGTAACCTGCAGAGCGGTGTGCCACATCATCAGAGAGGGCAACACACAATCAGCCAGGTCACACACAATCAGCCAGGTCATACGTTGTAACCTGCAGAGCGATAAGCCACATCATCAGAGAGGGCAACACACAATCAGCCAGGTCACACACAATCAGCCAGGTCATACATTGTAACCTGCAGAGCGATGTGCCACATCATCAGAGAGGGCAACACAATCAGCAAGGTCATACATTGTAACCTGCAGAGTGATATGCCACATCATCAGAGAGGGCAACACACAATCAGCCAGGTCACACACAATCAGCCAGGTCATACATTGTAACCTGCAGAGTGATATGCCACATCACCAGAGAGGGCAACACACAATCAGCCAGGTCACACACAATCAGCCAGGTCATACGTTGTAACCTGCAGAGTGATATGCCACATCATCAGAGAGGGCAACACACAATCAGCCAGGTCACACACAATCAGCCAGGTCATACGTTGTAACCTGCAGAGTGATATGCCACATCATCAGAGAGGGCAACACACAATCAGCCAGGTCACACACAATCAGCCAGGTCATACGTTGTAACCTGCAGAGTGATATGCCACATCATCAGAGAGGGCAACACAATCAGCCAGGTCATACGTTGTAACCTGCAGAGTGATATGCCACATCATCAGAGAGGGCAACACACAATCAGCCAGGTCATACATTGTAACCTGCAGAGCGATGTGCCACATCACCAGAGAGGGCAACACAATCAGCCAGGTCATACATTGTAACCTGCAGAGTGATATGCCACATCATCAGAGAGGGCAACACACAATCAGCCAGGTCATACATTGTAACCTGCAGAGTGATATGCCACATCATCAGAGAGGGCAACACACAATCAGCAAGGTCATACATTGTAACCTGCAGAGTGATATGCCACATCATCAGAGAGGGCAACACACAATCAGCAAGGTCATACATTGTAACCTGCAGAGTGATATGCCACATCACCAGAGAGGGCAACACACAATCAGCAAGGTCATACATTGTAACCTGCAGAGTGATATGCCACATCATCAGAGAGGGCAACACACAATCAGCAAGGTCATACATTGTAACCTGCAGAGCGATGTGCCACATCATCAGAGAGGGCAACACACAATCAGCCAGGTCATACATTGTAACCTGCAGAGTGATATGCCACATCACCAGAGAGGGCAACACACAATCAGCCAGGTCATACGTTGTAACCTGCAGAGTGATATGCCACATCATCAGAGAGGGCAACACACAATCAGCCAGGTCATACGTTGTAACCTGCAGAGTGATATGCCACATCATCAGAGAGGGCAACACACAATCAGCCAGGTCATACGTTGTAACCTGCAGAGTGATATGCCACATCACCAGAGAGGGCAACACACAATCAGCCAGGTCATACGTTGTAACCTGCAGAGTGATATGCCACATCATCAGAGAGGGCAACACACAATCAGCCAGGTCATACGTTGTAACCTGCAGAGTGATATGCCACATCATCAGAGAGGGCAACACACAATCAGCCAGGTCATACGTTGTAACCTGCAGAGTGATATGCCACATCATCAGAGAGGGCAACACACAATCAGCCAGGTCATACGTTGTAACCTGCAGAGTGATATGCCACATCATCAGAGAGGGCAACACACAATCAGCCAGGTCATACGTTGTAACCTGCAGAGCGATGTGCCACATCATCAGAGAGGGCAACACACAATCAGCCAGGTCATACGTTGTAACCTGCAGAGTCATATGCCACATCATCAGAGAGGGCAACACACAATCAGCCAGGTCATACGTTGTAACCTGCAGAGTGATATGCCACATCATCAGAGAGGGCAATACACAATCAGCCAGGTCATACGTTGTAACCTGCAGAGTGATATGCCACATCATCAGAGAGGGCAACACACAATCAGCCAGGTCATACGTTGTAACCTGCAGAGCGATGTGCCACATGATCAGAGAGGGCAACACACAATCAGCCAGGTCATACGTTGTAACCTGCAGAGCGATGTGCCACATCATCAGAGAGGGCAACACACAATCAGCCAGGTCATACGTTGTAACCTGCAGAGACACTTCACGACAAGCATGGGTCACTATTCTGGTGTGAAGTTCCCACTTGGCACTATATGATCACTCATCACTTATTCATTATGTCATATTCTGTGGGGTCACGAGTGGCTAATTTCGGGGTCCAAGATGTCACAATTTTCTGTGCCGAGTTGCATCCCTTGGGTCAGAATGTGTATTCAAATTCCAAATTCACACTGATATTTCTTGGTATTTAAGTACCATATGCCTGCTCAAGGAATTCACCACAGAGGTAAATGTCTTTAGATCTGTATCACTTCAGGCTTTCTTCCCATATTAAAGAGACATGGCATGATATAATACTATTCAAAGAGTCATGTTCAAAACCTACCAATTTCAACCTACCTTCCCTATTCTGTACAATAAGCAATCTTCCCATACTTTGAAACTGTTCTTTGATGCAGTTTCCAAATGTGCCACATCTTTGTAGTAACACTGAAATACACCCAGGGTCATCATATTTGGTTTATACTCGGGATATCCCTTTGGAACGTTTTCGAAATACTTGTAACTGTTATTGAAGGTCAAGTTCAAACTCAAGGTCATCGGATGTATTATGTTCACAATAACTCCATCCAGGAAAATGTGGGTATGGGGCTTCTGCTTTTGCACTTTTTCAAACACCTTTGTAGTTCTTCATTGTTATCTGCTTGTTTATGTTCAGGATCCATTGAGGAAGACACAATCGTTGGACGCAGGACGCCTGTCAGGCGAGCAAGACTCAGTGACTGACGGGAAACCAATGGCTGATCAGAAGACGTTACAGGCTTTCAAGGTCAGTTGAACATGGCAATGTTGGTGGGAACAATTATTTGGCAGTTCCATGTAGCCCTTGGAAGCATGCAACCATAACCCAGTACAAATACGGTGAAACTCCAATCTTATTAAAGTCAGAGCTTTTACTCTGACATGATACCTCTGTGTGTGAAGATCTGGGACACCTCCATAGGAGGTCACATCAGGCAATCTTTCTGATTAGTCAATGTCAAGGCTTCTAGATTCTTGGCACAAGTTAACAAAGTATACAGCTTATGTGATTTCTGATCAAACAAACAAATCAGTAAGTTCCGAATGTAAAGTAATAAAACTGTGCTTTTATATTGTTGTGGATATTATATATACCTTATCACTTCTGAGTGCCATGGCATCTGTACCCAAAAAGAGTGTACTATCAAGGGTATATTTGTGTTTTGTGTGGGTTTTATTTAGCCGACATTGAAATTTCCTAAATGATTTGGTAAAGAAATGAAGCCGGATTGTTTAAGAAAGCTGATGTCTGATTAGCTGAAGAACACAATCCTTCATGTAAATTGTGCAGTCAAAGTTTGCTCAGGAATCATCAGACGTGACCTTCTATGGATGTGTCCTCAGATCTTGACACAGAAGGCTATTGAATCAGAGTAGAAGATCTGATGTTTATGACATATTGGTGAAACACTGAGCTTGCATAAGCCAAAGTAGATGGTCGCATGTTCCCCCGTTTTGCTCTGCTGCAGGAAAGAGGCAACAAGTTGAGTGTTCTGAAATAGAAAGAAACTCCTCCAAGGTTATTACAAACATTTCTAGGTCCTCAGGCCCTGCCTCAACAGCAAGAACACCCCTGCTTGGAGCATTATGTTTCTGCTTACACACAGAACAATTGCTGCTTCTCCGCCCACTCCGCTCCAGTCCATCATCTTCTTGTGGCCAGACATATTTGTTTCCCAGTTTTATGGAGTTTTTGGTCAATATGCCAGGAGTCAAAATGAAGAATAGTTTGTCATTGATTAACCATTGATTTATGGTTAATTTTGCTTGAAACCATTGCACCCTGGTGATGATCCGGGTTAGAAATGGTCTACGGCAACCCATGCTTGTTGTAAGAGGCGAGTAACAGGATTGGGTGGTCAGGCTTACTGACGAGATTGATGCAGGTCATTATGTCACAATTGTGTCGATCGATGCTCATGTCAGCCAGTCGCATAGCTGGAATATTGCTGAGTGCTGCGTTAAACAAATGAAGTCATTGCAATTAAACTTTTAACAACAAAGACAAGGATGTTTTAGAAGGAAACAATATTTTTGTTTTATTCGTTTTACTATTTCAAAATCAAGATTTGTTTTGACAAAATATGACATATATTTGTCTGACCTGAAGTCATCAATTCTTAAAGAATATTGATCAGTTAAAATCTGTTTATCAGTGAAAAATATTTTCTTTTAATATAATGTGATCAGAACTGATTTTGTTCACCTCAGCAGTTTCATGAATGAACTATGTTGCCTACTGTGCCTTTATAAACATGCATGGAACCTGTCCTTGGCTTTCAGAATGAGGTAGTAGAATGTCTATGTAGTAAGTCTGCACTGTACCCTCTGTGTGTTAGCATCCCCGATTGTCCAGGGTACTATATCTCCCTTCTGTTTTAATCACCCTGGATCATCTTTCCTATTACTAACAGAAGTTTTCTCGCTGATGACAATTTGTTAAGTGGGAATACTTAGTGGTGCGCAATTCAAATCGAGCTCAAAACGAGGCTATGGTAGCGAAAGGGTCCAAGATTTTGTAATAGAAGGGAGATAGAAATAGCCTGGATAATGGGGGATGAAGTTAGTTGAACCACCAGTATGTGGTTTTATTCCTCTTGTTCCTTGTACCACGTCCCAGTTTGTATCATCCATGTTGTACAGTTATCTCCCTTCCTCTGGGGTCAAGAGTTACCTGGTCTGAGGGTCAAGACATTGCATATCTTCCAAATCCTATATCCTCTGTCTGTACCTGATTTTCATACGTCAAAGGTACATATGTAAACAGTAAAAAGTGTTAATTGGTAAGTTGAGCATATTTGTCTACCAGTGGAAGAGACATGATCAAAGCTTGAATGGTTTGGGGTTTAATGTTGGTTGTGGAACATTATAAAGATTTATTCATACATTGTCCATACGAGATACATGAAGTGTTCTATGTATATATCTGTTACTTTTATGATGATCATGTAGTGAATAGAGTTCCCAATACCCATAAATTGGCAAGACTAGTTTCCAACAACACCACTAAACATTTGCAAAATGTATGTAAATTTACCTCTATACTCATGAATGAGTTCTAAAACCCTTCATTCTGATGTTAATTTGAACAAGCAATGTGTGTATACAGTGTCTTAATTTGTTCTATGTATAGTTATCTAATGTTAGTTATATATTTCACTCCTGTACCACCGTGGGTGGTTTTGAGTAAATATGTGACTCTGAATGTGTAAGAAGAGGTCCCCAACAACCTATACTTGTCCTTAGAGGTGACAACATGGATTGGGTGGTCAGACTCGTCCCCATAGGTTCCCAGCTGTCTATGATTGTCGTAATTATGGTAAGAGGCCATGAAATGGATCATGTGGTCAGACTCGGTGACTTGGTTGATTGTATGTCATCATGCCCTTGAGACATGCCTCATATCAATCAGTGGATTGTCTGGACCAGACTCGATTATTTCTTCGCTGCCATCACATTGCAGGAATATTGCTGACGTAAAACAGCAGACAAAACAATCACTTGAATGGAGTGTAAAAACTTTAGCAGGCCAAACATTGAGAGAAGCTGTGATTACTGTTTGAACAAGTGGCCTTTTTGGTAGATTTTGTTTGTGTATTGTTTGTTGTTGTTTAACGTCAACTTCTGCAATATTCTATCTATATGGCAGCAGTCTGTATAAACACAAGTCTAGATCCAACATTCCAGTGTTATTATGAACATCTATCCTTGCATTTGGGATATGATTACATACAATCAACCAAGTCACCGAGTCTGACCACATGATCCATTTCATGGCCTCTTACCATAATTACGACAATCATAGACAGCTGGGAACCTATGTTCTTACCCAGAGTACCTTTCTTTGCTAGAGCAACAGCCTAACTGATGATCTGACCCTTGGGCTTGAGAACCTTTGATCCAGGATTCCCTGCACTCTTTGTCATACTAACATTTGTGATTGTCAGTTATCTTTGAAACAATGTTATGTTTTGAATTTTCAAAGAATTATTTTTTTATCAAACGTGATTTAATTGGAGGCTCAGTTCATTCATAATTTTGTGAAACAGTTCAAATCAAATTGCTGTGGTTTCCTTTCTACGGTATTTGACAATGGTGTTAATTTATTTTCTGTGCTGCATGTGAAGTTTACAAAAGTACTAACACTTCCCGTAAAGCAGCTTTTAAACTCTTTAATCAGTTATATGTTACCACACATCAAACTGATATCTTTATCATGTTTGTCCTTGTTTTCTGCATCTGTACATTAATTTATGAAATATAAAAATAGTAATTATAAATTATATAGTAATTATTATAGCATTTATTTTACATTGACCTTTTGACAATTGATATTTTTTTGTTCTGTATGGAGGATTGTTGTGATGACACTAAAATGGCCTGACCTTATCAAGAAAAGTCTTAAACAATTTCTTTATAGCAATTTTATTTGTTTATTAATGTAAATTTCCAGAATTCAGTCTGGTTGAAACATGATAGCCCCCACATGAACACAGTGGAAGGAGGGAATCTCCAGTTGATTCACTTCAATAAATCCCGCTGTTACAGATACACTGATGTCGAAGGAACTTGTCGTTGCAGGGTGTACGGAATGTATATTTACATATATCAAGCAGCCTGGCAGGCAGGCCGGGCCTCAGGGACAGTTTAACATTAATTAGCAGGGGGCTAATTAATCTAATCAAATGAACATGATCTATAAGCAGATTACAGTGTCAGGCTACATTGCCGGATATTGCACAGGAAATCATGCTGTGAGGTGTATGGAATATAGTTTTCATGTAATTGTCACGGAAAAGAGCCTGAAGATAGTCCTGTATGGAATGTTTATTTCCAGCGGAGAATGATGACAGGAAGATCTGTACTTTTATCAGCTTGAAAATATTGTTTTGATAAGATTGTTTATTTTTATTTTGGATGTGATAAAAGTTCTTGATAATTAAATAAATAATGTACACTTAGAAGATGTAGAATACTGTAATAGAGAAGTTAAAGAGGAGTGGCTTTTTGCCTGCATATACAAGTGGGTGAAACTATTGCCAATGTACATATTGGACACGTAACATGATGGCACGTCTGTGAAGACTTCAGAGTTCAGTAACAGAGAAGTAAGCGTTACTATGTTAATGGAATCAGGAGGTATTTTAAACACATATTTAAGTGAAACAGAAATTGAAAAAAAACTCTCATAATTTAGACTAGTGGCCTTCTACAGGAATTGTCAGGCCTACAATGAATTATTTGGCTTGTGATGGGATGATTTAAAGACTTTGAGGGGGGGTGAAATTCTGTGAAATAATACCTATTAGAAAATGAATGAATGAATGGGTCCAACTTAACTCATTTTTCAACACCATCTTGTTTGTTTGTTTGTTTGATTTAGTTAATTTTCTCACTTGCACATGGTGCTGCATTTAAAGAGTTTTTGCACATTCGAATGTAAATTGCACCTTAAAAACCTTGGTGAGTGAATATTGTTTTATGCCATACCCAGCAATGTTACAGCAATGTTACAGCAATGTTATGGTTGTTGGAAATGATAGCCAGGCTGACAGGAGGTTGATGATAGGACTTGGTTCAACACTGAGGGGCGGTGGGGTAGTCCAGTGGTTAAAGCGTTTTCTCGTCAAGACGAAGACCCAGGTTCGATTCCCCACATGGGTACAATGTGTAAAACCAATTTTCTGGTGTAACCTGCCGTGATATATTGCTAAAAGTGGCATAAAACCTTACTCACTCACTCACTCATTGTTCCACACTGCCTGATGATAGTTGTGTTGCTAAGATCGCTTTATGGTACAACACTGGTATCTCCCTTAATTCCAGCTTAGCCTATGTGATTTAGGGGCGGTTGGGTAGCCTTGTGTCTAAAGCATTCGTTCATCATGCTGAAGACCCGGGTTCAATTCCCGACATGGGTACAATGTTTGAAGCCCATTTCTGGTGTCACCCGCTGTGATATTGCTGGACTATTGCGAAAAGCGGTATAAAACCATTCTCACTCTCTCACTATGTGATTTTAGTACAACATTGTTTAACCTATATGTATTTTAGTGTAGATGTTATACATACATGTAGCCCCGATATGATATGGGGTAGAATAGGTCTTCAGCATCCCATGCTTGCCGTAAGAGGCGACTAATGGGATCGGGTGGTGAAGCTCGCTGCATTGGTTGATGCATGTCATCGCATCCCAATTGCGTAGATAGATGGTCATGATGTGAATCGCTGGATTTTCTAGTCAGGACTTGATTATTTACAAACTGCCCTCATATAGCTGGAATATTGCTGAGTGTGGCATTAAAAAAAACCAAAAAAAACCGTACTTGTGATAAATGTTACATGCTATTCTAAGTTGATTTTCACCAGTACAAACATCAAAACCACATCTTGCATATTTGGCACTTTGATATTGTAGGAGTTTTTAAAGTCTATACTGTGTTCAAGTATCAACTGATAGCTTACAGCAGATTCACCTAACATGCAAATAACTTCATGAAGAACTTGATACTTTCAGTATACAATTATTGTAATAATCTGTATGTACATAATGTAGGTCTTTATCCCAACAATTCCTTGGTGAAGGGTCTTGGTGCATTCATAGCTTCTCTCACTACCTTTAAGTACATGTTGGGCAATAATGGTCTAAGGCACTGCAACAACCTGTCAAGAGTTGTGTCCCTTGGTCATGCCAGGATCAGTTGATCACAGTTCGAATCCAAGATTGTCCCTGATCATGAACCTTGATCTGGTATCACCATTCCATAAAGTCTGTATAGAATTTCCTCAAGTATTAAGCTGGCTTGAAACACTGTTGCATCATTAATTTCACTTGCACAACTAACTTAGGTCAACGTTTCTTTTCAGGAATTGGAAGAAGAGCATGAGCAGCTGAATGAGGACTACCACAACCTGACTGTTGAGAACAGGAAGCTGTATGACAAGATTGACGCACTCAAACACAAGATGGCTGCCATCTCACAGCAGGTAACAAGCACAGCATCAACATCTGCTAAATCTAAGTTTGAAAGATATGGCAAATCTCCATTTCATCCAATTAGAAAATACTTATATATTTGTTTATTTTCACATGTCCTCTAATATATGTGATAGGAATATTTGAGCATATATGTAAGCCTCTTCAATGCCTGTCAGTGTTGTAGAGGGGTTAGATGGGGTTAGATGGGGTTGTGTGGTTCAGTTGTTGGCTCAGAATCGGAGAAAGTCTGGTTGAGATTGACCTGCACCTCACAAGTTCTCCCATGTTTCACAAACGTGGTGAATGTCTAAGACTTGCGTCTATTTGGACTTGAACTTCCCACATTAAGCTTACAAGCTGTGATATTGCAGAACACCTGCTGGAAGAGGTATGAACCAAAGTAACTCACTTACTGATGCTTTGTCTCGCCAATGACCAGGGTGTCGCTGAAATAGCACTGATGGTCCTTACACCCTGAATCTGTTATTGTTTGTCTACATCAGCTGTTTACGCAAATTCCCTGAGATCCCTTTCTGAATGCAATCATGTTATTCCAAATTCAAGCCTGGAACCTTTGGAGACCACTCGCTTGCCCTTTTCGCAGCTGAGGCAAGATTTTCTTGCCTGTTGATCTGAAGTCTGCCTTTTACCTCCAAACATTTAAACGTCAACTTAAACATATCTGTTCTGACTCCTAATCACTGTCTCCACATAATTTTCATGGCGTCAGTTTCATCGTTATTTTCATAGTTTTACGTTTATCTGTCGTGCTTTTACCATACACGAGTAAGGAAATTAGCGCTATATAAGAAGGATCATTATTATCTTTACTTATACAGAAATTGTATTTAACAGGGGCAGACGGAAATTCCCCAGGAAATTGAAGATGAGGTGAGATTGTTTGGTGTTTATTTCATACACTTTCAAATATTCACCATACGCTGATCTGTCCTAATTTGAGATTCAGATCTAAGTGAGTTGTAAACGAAATCTTGGTCATGTTTTTTTTATGGTCTTCATTTATACTCTGTATGCATAATTTTAGTGGACTACTTTGGTGTTTTCAGCTGAACAACTTAAAAAATATTCTGCGCAAAGAACAAGAGAAGAACCAAGAACTTGTTGACCTGAACCAGAACCTATCACTACACAACCGGAGTCTGTCTGAAGAAAATGAATCCCTGTCTGTACAGAACAAGTCCTTGTCCGACCATAATGCCAGCAGAGGGGTGAGTGGCAGCCATTTGTAGGAACAACTATATAAGTAGGGATGTAGAGAGTCACAAGTGTTCACTGAGATACTCTGCGATACTCTGTGCGACAGTAGGAGTAGGTCATGAATCTGTACAGAACAAGTCCTTGCCCGACCATAATGCCAGCAGAGGGGTGAGTGGCAGCCATTTGTAGGAACAACTATATAAGTAGGGGTGTAGAGAGTCACAAGTGTTCACTGAGATACTCTGTGTGACAGTATGAGTAGGTCATGAATCTGTACAGAACAAGTCCTTGCCCGACCATAATGCCAGCAGAGGGGTGAGTGGCAGCCATTTGTAGGAACAACTATATAAGTAGGGGTGTAGAGAGTCACAAGTGTTCACTGAGATACTCTGTGTGACAGTATGAGTAGGTCATGAATCTGTGCAGAACAAGACCTTATCCGACCATAATGCCAGCAGAGGGGTGAGTGGCAGCCATTTGTAGGAACAACTATACAAGTAGGGGTGTGCAGAGTCACAAGTGTTCACTGAGATACTCTGCAATACTCTATGCGACAGTAGGAGTAGGTCATGAATCTGTACAGAGCAAGTCCTTGCCCGACCATAATGCCAGCAGAGGGGTGAGGAAAGATATTACAAAGTTATTAAAGAGTGAGTTAGTGAGTTTGGGTTTTATGCTGCTTTTAGCAATATTCCAGCAATATGACGGTGGGGGACACCAGAAATGGGCTTCACACATTGTACCCACGCTTTAACCACTAGGCCACCCGACCATCCCAGTTATTAAAGAGAATACCTCAGGTAGATCACACATTCAGTGTTAAGAGAACAAATTAATCATGTTTCTAGATTGACTGATCATGAGTATGAAATAATCTCCATTTTGGATTGGGGGCATACAAGGTATGACCAGATTGATTGTGTTTTGTCATACCCTTGGAGGTGGATGTTTGTTTATGCTACAATCGCTGTGTTGCCGGGTTTTGTGGGAATCTTGCTGCATAAAACAACATTCAGTCACTGGAAGCATGGCTCACTGCCTGCAGTACACTGTAAATAAAGTGTTTTCATCAGACTCAAGTACATGCAGGCAGCTGGGATATGGCTGTAATGTTGTTGATAACAGAGTAAGTCCCATTCTCCAACTCTACAACAGTATTGCATTAAACGTAATTGACTCATTCGCTCACCCCTTCATGGACACTCTTTACATACATTCCCTATCAGTGTGTGTGTATCCTTTCAACTCGTATCTGTTCAATATATTTGTTTTACTGTTAAATCAAAATGTTGGGGAAAGGATATTCAGGAAAGTAATCAATGTCCAGGAAATTGATTTAAGTTTCTGTAAGCAAAACTAATGATCATCAGTAAGTTTGTTGCATGGTCTAGCAGTCCTTGTCTTGTGTACTGCCCAGACTTTGATAAACATTATGATTGTACCCCCGTGGGAGGAACAAATACTTTGTTACATACCGCTGTTTCTTGTATAATGTCTGTGATGCTACTCTCCAAGGATGGGCTGTTGCCAAGTTATGTGTGTCTTCCTTGGAAATGTCAAATTAACCGATTAGCAGGTCATTCTGAGATCATCTTGACCTCATGTCAAGAGATATCATAAAGACTTGGTGGAAGCTCTTGTTTTGTTTTATGGTGTTACTTCATCATGGAACAGTAATTTTTTTGTCGTGATTATATGGATTAAATTTGTTTAAATTTCATATTATTATTTTTAGCTCACCCGAAAAGTTCTTGTCATAGTTAAGGGGACCCAATTCCCAAGGGTTTTTAATGTCAGTTTGTCATAGACTTTAGCTGAGCTTCACTATTTACGAACCCAGACAATTATTACCATCACGCCTCTTGCTTGTTGTAAGAGGCGACTAACAGGATCGGGTGGTCAGACTCGCTGACTTGGTTGATGCATGTCATCAATCTCAATTGCATGGATCGATGCTCATGATATCAATTACTGGAATTTCTTGTCCAGACTCGATTATTTTACAGACCGCCGTCATATAGCTGGAATATTGCTGAGTGCTGCATTAAACAACAAAGAAACAAACAAACAAACTATTACCTCTCCTAAGGAGAATGTAGGAAGCTGTAGTTTTGCCATATCGCATGTATATAGTCACTGTTTGGGTACACATGTTTTACTCTCCTTTTTACGATATCCAGTGAACGAAGTTAGTTGTTTGCTAGTCCAATATATAATGGCTAATCTTTTGCTGTGTTCCCTATTTTTTGGTATCCAGGGTCAATCTCACACCCTTCACTTCAATACAATACCTTTCTGCATGGAGATCTGAGGAAACCTCCTTGGGCTAGGACCAGTCCAAATGGCCTCCCCAGGCTACTGACTCCCAGTTACCCATCCCTACCAGGGTACTCACTGTAGGTCTCAAGTTGGGTACATAATGTTCAATTGGGAATTGTTTTACCTGAGCCCTGGCAAAAGTATTTAGATATAGTATAAGACGATTTGATCATGCATACACTGAAATTAACTAAAGCTTTGTCGGAGCACCTTTAGAATACAGTACCACAACTTCTCGTGAGGACGGCCTCTGCCGTAGGACACTTGTCTCAAAGACAAGCAACCAGTTTTTGTGAGAATCCGTCGGACGCGAATTCGCAACCTTCGGATTGTTAGCCCGACAGCTAACCCACAGAGCTACGTCCACACTGTCATACAAAGTGCAAATTTACCTAGTCATGCCTACGACGTTATGGAACTGAACGAAAAGGGTTGAATAAGTGACTGACCCTTACGAAGGTTATGGGTAGGCATGGTGTCTCGTGACTTTAGTCTATCGACACTTACGAATGATCCCATTGCCATTTGGCACACTGGTCCCATTCCATAATATACAAGATACCGAGTGGCGAGGAATGATCCGATATGGCGCGAACTGAAAACGGTTCAAGGCGTCAGACGTCAGACGTCGAACTCGCGAATACGCATGGATGACGTGTTATTTAATAATTCGTCGGGTGGATTTTGTGACAGAAAAGTGTGGTAGGGAACACTGTAAGGATGATGTGGATAATAGTAAGGAATGAGGGAGGCATGTGCATGGCTAGTGACGACACAACAGTGAGTTCGCTCTTGAATCAGTACTGAAAAAATGTAGCCGGTGAAAGTGGCTTCTGTTAATGTTCCAGGACAGTTTCCAGTAGCTAAAGTATTTGACACAAAACCATTTCATTCTTTTTACTCGATGTTTTTGTGTGAAGAATATTAGGAGCGTTATAGAATCTATAATAGAAACTAAACGGGTAGATTTACCGAACCCTAATGATCGTGAAGGGATGATTGATCGTAAAGGGGATCCAAGGGCTAAGGACAGAATTCGGGTGATCTAATAACAACTAAACGGGTACCTAACCCTAATGATCGAAAAGGAGTGATTGATCGTAAAGGGGATCGAAGAGCTAAGGATAGAGTTTGGGGTAACCTACCCTAACACTAGCTATATTTGGATGTGTTCAGCGCCAATATAATATCCCTAATAAACTACATTCTTGTGCATAATAATGAAAATTAATGCACCGAAAAAATAATTTATGTATATTAGTTCCCATTTATAACCCTTTTAGCCACTTGAAATCCAAGAAGAACGAACTAAAAAATAAAATATAAAAAAAATTGCTTTCGTAAACTAGCACTTGCTATAAAATGCGCCGCCGCAGGCTATATTCAGTAAACAAATATTCAAAACTCTCCACAGCGCTTAGCGTATTCAATGACATTTCGTGTAGAGTTGATAGATCACTGGGAGGAGCTTATGCACCCTCGATGACCCCTGACGTCACAGGGCATTGTTTCGCCGGTGTGACTGGCAACAAAATACTACAAATTACGTCATAGGGTATTGTCACTTGTTTGAAAAGTTTGTGGTGCTGTATTCTAAAGGTAGGCCAGCTTTGTGTTTACTCAAACATATAAGAGTCAGAAGGAACGTGTGCACAGTCAGAAAGAAATGCAAACATTAGCAAATTGTACCAGAGTAACTATAGAATTTTATTGTTTTGTCATTAAATAATATATCATGGGACTAACCACACGTCCGGGTAGTCCTGTGGGTACCTGGGTCGTACTCAGGACCCACCTGCCCCGAGTACCCGAGTTACCTGTCCCTGCCCTATATTACCTCCACAGGATGTCGAGTCAGGTGAATGTCGTATTCTCTGCTATTTAAAGTGTTTCATCAGTAGACAACATCTCACACTGGTGGTCATATATGTAGAGCACTGTATGAAGTAGACAGTACTGTGCCCCATTCACAAGGAGATTTTAACGTTACGACTGTCGTCCTTCCTATAGTGTAACACAGACTCGTAGCAGACGTAACGCTTGGAACTCTAGGTGAAATGGGACCCTGAGTGCGACTACAGAAGTCATGTGACATGTGTACCGGAGTTGTGAACTGACTGCTGTTGTTTTCAGAGTGAGTCCAGGATGAGGGAGGGTGAGGCCATCCCAGGAGACAGTTGGGGAGACAGTGATGAGGAACTGTTTGACTCGCCAAGTGAGTGTATTTAGCAGAGAAAATAAATAGAACATCACCAGTTTATCTGTTCATTTTTGTCAACCATAATCAGAATTTTAGAGAAAATTGCATTGACATATTTATGTGAGGTAATTATGGCATATTTGTAAGCCAAGGAATTTGAATTTGTAAATTTGCTGTGTTTGAAGTCTTGTTTATATATTTAGTGTGAAAATTGCTTTGCGGTAATTGACTCTTGAATCATAATTCTTTGGCTATATATTCCAGCCCGCAGACGACGTAATCGCTCATCTCCAGATGACAAGCAGATGTTGGTTTTGCTTCGCTCTCAGATCTTGACTCTTACACAGGAGAATGACCATCTCAAGGAAAAAATGCAGGTGAGGGAAGGTCAATGTCAAGTGCTTATTAGGGTCATTTTTGCATTCAATACTCATGTGGATATTTTCCAATTGTTCCTTGAAGGACAGGTTCTCATTGCTGTCATTGATACTTACAATGCATATGAGAGAGATTAAATGACTAACTATATGACCTTTTACCATGTTGCACACCATAGAACATTTTTCAAAGAAGATGCAAAAAGATGACACTTCTGACAACACTTTTAAGGCTTTTTGTCCATTATTAAGCATTCAATACACACTGTCAGTATATTACCCAATATGATCTGTTGGAATCATAGCTCTCATAAAGATATTTATATACTTGTGCATCACGAGCAGTCGGTTACTGGTGTTCCACTGTATCACAAGAAGGTTCAATCAGAAGTCTGTATGTTCTTTTGAATTTGATGGAATATTACCATTAAGTCTGAAATATAATCTTATTTCAGACATACATTAAAATAGCTGACCTTCTGTTTTTGTAAAAACAGGGCATCCAGTATTAGAATTGTTGTCTTGTCAAAAAATGTTACTTTCATGCAAGAGGATTTTGTCAATACGTATTATTTATGAGTACTATGAAAAGGATATATACAAAATGCTTAATTTTGTTGTTGGTACAAACTGAAAACTTATATCAATATGTTTTCAACTGTGCTTCTTTTCAGAGAGGATAATTTGGATGTGTGAGGTATCCATTGTTTGATGTGATGTTTATTAGAGCATGTAGATTCACTGAGTTGTCATTTCCCAGCATGGTTAGGCTGTGTAGGATGTTGGCATGTTCTTACAACATCCTCCTAAATACTGAAGCATTTACGATTGCGATTCTAGGTTTGTCAGCATCATTCTCCTGCTCTTGGGTTTCACCAAAGTGGTAAACGTCCAAGACCTGCATCACTTCAGACTTTCCTTCCACATGAAGCTGACACCCCATGACATAAATGAAATGCTGTTCAGAGCAGCATTAGACCCAACTCGCTCACTGTTATCATTCTGATGAAGGAGAATGCCCTGAAAACACCCTTTTGAGGGTTGCCATTTTGAGGGCCATGTTGTCCTTGGGATGATGATAATTGCAGTGGTTGACCGCCTCTGTGGTCTAGTGGTACAGCATCAGCCCAGAGAGCAGAATGTCGGGGGTTCGATCCCCGACCGCGTCATACCAAAGATGTAAAGAGATGGTACTTGTTGTTACCCTGTCTGGCACTCGGCATTAAGGAGCTAAAACAAGGACTGGTCTGCTTGGAGTCAGTATACTGTCAGAGTGGGGTATTCAAGTTAAACTGCGACATGGTATCTCTGTGGGCTAGCACTATAAATCGGCATCAGTCCGACTTGTACAAGCAGCCACACACATGCACATGCATGCACGTTTCTATATAAGTGCAATATTCTTGGATGCGATGTTAAACCCCTTTTCACCTCACCTCACACTGCAGTGGTCCACTTTTATCATTACAAGATATGAATAATGGGTGATACCTGCTGATCAGGTCGTGCACTACCTGCTGAAATGGTGAACAAAATACTGATTCTTATACTGGATAATGTTACTGAATTGCATCATTAATACAAAAGCAGGAAATACACTGGACACTTCTTGAATAGTGTAGACATGTAAATAGGGGTGTACTTCACTATAGATTTACTGACATTCTGGTAACCACATTGTCTGTGTGTATATCCATAATTCCTTTGAATACCCTACCTCTATTACATCATAGCCTGTTCTGGCTGTAATCACTCGGCTTGACTTCTGAACAAATGCATTTTCAGTTGATAATAGCATATAGGCTATTATACACAAGAAAGTGAGGCATGTCTGACTCGCCTGTCTGTCGTCATGGGGTATGCTGCATGTTTGCCTTCTCACACAGGCTGGGGTCTTTATGGATGTTTGAGCTGACATAAATAAACTTTGTTGGATATGGATGACAATCCAAAAATGGATTCTTTCATGGAACACCTCCATCTGTGGAGTATATTGCCACATATACAACAGCAATCAGAGCGCTATGACAGTCATAAGTGTATGTTACAGTTTGGCAGTTATGATCATCTTAGCGCTAAGATCGCTTTGTGGAACGGGGCCCTGTGTATTAGGTTGAAGCCTTCTGTATCAGTGTGAAATTATATTCCCCCTCTATAACACGATGCTGAATTATATCCCCCCTCCATAACACGATGCTGAATTATCTTCCCCCTCCATAACACGATGCTGAATTATCTTCACCCTCTATTACACGATGCTGAATTATATTCCCCCTCTATAACACGATGCTGAATTATCTTCCCCCTCTATAACACGATGCTGAATTATCTTCCCCCTCTGTAACATGATGCTGAATTATCTTCCCCCTCTATAACATGATGCTGAATTATCTTCCCCCTCTATAACATGATGCTGAATTATCTTCCCCTCTATAACACGATGCTGAATTATCTTCCCCCTCTGTAACATGATGCTGAATTATCTTCCCCCTCTATAACATGATGCTGAATTATATTCCCACTCTGTAACATGAGGCTTCAGGCTTGTTGGGACCCAATGATCGTAGGTTTGTATCCGAGATTCACCCTGACTATGTTCCCTGGCATGTCGTAGTTTTCTCCAAAGTGGTAAAAGTTTTTAAACCTGCATCACTACTGGATTTTTTCAAGCTGACATGATATAAATGAAATACTGTTCCAAGCAGTGTTAAACCAACTCACTCACTCACTCACTCACTCATGTTGTCATCACACAATGACATTTTCACAAAATTTTAGTTTTGTCTTGTGAATTAGCAAAGTATTGTTAGTGGTTAAGGCAAAGAATGTTTGTGGGAGATACCAGATCTATGTATTATTGCATGAGAAAGCATGCACTTGAATGCAAGTTTGCGAAAAAAATGTTTGACCACTTTGTTCTATTGTGTTTAATCATTGATAGTAGGGCTGGGACAGGTATCTCCGGTACTTAGGTCAGGTGGGTACTGAGTAGGACCTGGATACCCACAGGACTACCCAGACCCGTGGTTAGTCACGTGATATATTGATTAATGACAAACATTATCCATGGTTACACTATAAATCACTAATGTTCACATTTCCTTCTGACTATGCACCCATTCTTTCTGAGTTTTATATGTTTGAATAAAGATAAAACTTCAGTCAACTGCAGTATATGCATGTATCTGAATACATTTTGCCAGGGCTACAGTCAAACTTTCCCAAATTGGACAGTTGGCACCTACAGCAGGTACCAGGGTAGAGTCGGGTCATAGGGTGTGGGGGTGGTAAATTTGGACTCGTCCCAGCCCTAAGTGATAGTGTAATGTCTGCACAGGTAACACAATCATGTCAAGTTGATTCCTGATATGTTCCACCTCCGTGGTCTAGTGGTAGAGCGTCCGCCCGGAGAGCGGAAGGTCTGGGGTTCGATCCCCAGCCTCGTCATACCAAAAGACGTTAACAGATGGTATTTGTTGTTACCCTGTCTGGCGCTCTGCATTAAGGGGCTAAAACAAGGACTGGTAAGCTCGGATACTGTGTCTGAGTGTGGTATTCATGTTAAAACTGCGGCATGGTATCTCAGTGAGATAGCACTATAAACTGCATCACTCCGGACTAATACAAGCAGCCACACAAACACACACACATGTGCATGCACATCGCTATGTAAGTGCAATAATCTTGGAAGCGACGTTAAACCGTATTTCACCTCACCTGATTCCTGATATTTTATCATGTTAAGCATGAAGCAGAAAGTGCCAGGAGATACTGGTGGTAGTTTGTTCAACAGACTTGCAGAGGAAGTAGTTAACTGGTTTCACCTGATTCTCATATAGATGTTATATTTACTTTGAAGATCAGGTTTTTAATTGGTCTTCAGCAACCCATGCTTGTCGTAAGAGGTGACCGACAAGACTGGTTGGTCAGGATCACTGCCTGAGATAATGCATGTCATCGTGTCTCATAGATCAATGCTCATATGTCAATCACTGGATTGGAGTGCAGCATTAAACAACAAACACACAAAAAAATGACTATATGTTGATAAAGGAGGAGAAATGAAAAGAAACTGGCATGTATTTTCTCAAAGCCAAATTTGAACCATGTGATTGGCTGATGATTTAAATTCATCATTTGATTGGTTTGTCTGATTTGAAATTACCATTTGATTGGCTAGTTTGGGCCAATGCAGGCTGATCCCAAAGTAAATGGTTTACATAACTTTTCACTGTTAAATCATAACAAGGTTATGGTCAAAGGGAGATAACTAAGAAAGTGTTAAAAATGAAGTAGGTTCAGGGGAGGTTTTCGGCTATTATTTGAACCTGAATCTGAATTTGAAATGTCCTAAATCATTACATTTTAACATTTGAATAATAATCAGGGCCTTGACTGTCATTAGTTAGTCTAGACACTGGTGCAGGAGCAGAGTGCCCAAGTGTCTGATTCTTTCTCCTCCCTGTGTCTTTGTAGAGTCTTCCCAATGGATACAGAGAGCCTTCACCCTACTTGTTCCAGACAACCAAGTCGGAGCCAGGCGAGATGAAGCCGGACAAGTCAGTGCAGTTCGATGAGCTTCAGCAAGCAGTGCTTCGATTGGAGGCTGAGAAGGCAGACATGCAGAAAGAGATTCTAATGGTATGAATTTGTAATTAATTGTAATTTCTGATTGCATTAGGGTCTAATGATGATATGACTCTTTTGTTTACTTTGTTTGTTGTATAATATCCCACTCAGTAATAATCAAGCTATATGATATTGGTCTGTAAATAATTGAGTCTGGATCAGACAGTCCAGTGATTTACATCATGGGTGATCAGATTGAGGGACTTATGTTATTGTGTGTCATTATACCTTGGTGGGATATTGCTCATAATATCAACCACTGGTTTGTCTCAGTTATTACATGCCACCATGATTTAGCTGGAGTGTCGCAGATCGCTGACATTCACTCACACAAAGCTGCCTAAATTGATTGTTGCTTCCCTTGGTCCTGTCAAGATCTGCTGATTGAGGGTTTGACTTCCAGATGATTCATGGTTTATCAGAGCAACACCTTCGCTAGTGGGTTCACCAAAGTGGTGCACGTCTATGACATGTGTCAATCTGGGTTTTCCCACTTGAAGCTGACGTATTGTGACATAATTGAGATAATATTGGAAGTGGCATCAAACTCTTTCACTCTCTCAGTCTTGTTTGTTTCTCCATAAAACAAAAGTACAACCCAAGGTTATTCAAGCAGCAGAATTCCTTCCAAACATACAAATGTTACATATAACCTGAATGGAACAAACAGTAGGAACAGTAGGAAGTGGTTAATATGTTTCTTTAAAAATAGGGGCGATACGGTAGCCTATTCGTTAAAGACCCTGGTTCGATTCCCCACATTGGTACAATGTGTGAACGATTCCCCACTTAGGTACAATGCGTGAAGCCCATTTTCTGGTGTCCCCAGCCGTTATATTGCTGGAATAATGCTAAAAGAGATTTAAAACCATACTCACTCAAGACATGAAAAAAATGGTAAAGAAGAAGGAGACGTACTCAGACAAAATTGATCATTTGTTCATGTCTCTACTTACATCTACAGTTCAAGGAGAAGTCTGAGTTTCAACTTCTGAATGGAGCCGTTAATCAGGAGGAGCTGATGGTGGAGAACAAGCGACTCAGCAAGGAGCTTGAAGACATGCGGGTGAAGGAAGAGGATGGGAAGCTGGAGCCAAAGGTGGAGCCAGAGTTGGAGCCAGAGTTAAACAGGGCAGACAAGATTCAGGATGATGGAGATGGAGGAAGTCCTCAACCCAAGGAGAAGGAAGATGATCAAATTGAGGAAAAGGAAAGGTCCTCGGTGAAGGAGGAGGAGGATCATTCGAGGATGGAGGGTTTAGAGAAGCAGAACGAACAGCTTCAGGATCAGTGTGCAGTGTTGACTGATGAGTTGGAGAAGCTTCGGGAGACATTTGATGCAATATTGAAAGCTGGGGATGATCTTCAGGCAGACTTTGACCAGCTTCAGACTGACAAGGAGCAGCTGCAGATGGAGTTTGAGAGGGTGATACAAGAGAAAGATGAACTTGTGAAGGAAAATGAGTTCCTGTTGTCTGATGGTAATGCTCTTCACGAGGACCTGAAAAAGCTGGTGCACGAGCTGGAGAAGATGCAGGAGAAGTACAAGAAGGTTGTGAAGGAGAAGGAGGACCTGGAGAGGAAGACGTGTGCAATTAATTTATCAGGGAAGGTTGGGGAGTTTACTAAGTTGCTGGAAGAGAGAGATAAGTTGGTGGTGAAGAACGAGGAGCTGGAGGCGACGTCGTCACGGTTGCAGCACGACCAGGAGATCCTGCTGGAGGAGGTCCAGAGCATGCAGGAGCAGATCAAGATGATGGAGACGGAGAGAGATCAGGTACGGGAACATGCTCGGTCAAATGTTTATGATTATTTTGCACACTGACATATCAGTTTAGATTTCTTATCCTCCCAGTGATTGACAGATTTGTTTACACATTTATGATTAATTTGTACATTTGTTCTTCATATCAACTTTTCTTCCAGTATTTCATGATTTTTTAACCGCAGGGGGATTCCAGAGCAGATTAGGTTTTGCATTGATCTTTTCTAGTGCTCATGCACATGAACCATGTTGTTGCCTGACCAATACTTGAATACGTACTGGTACATAGCGCTGTGGTGTAGCTGAAATATATCTGACTGACATAATTCAACATTTACTCACTCACTGAAGGATTTTTGTGCCAGATATATTATTAATTTATACATCTATGTCAAGATCTCGGACCTTCTGGTACTTCATTCTTGTTGTCTGAGGTGACTGAAACGGCTGATGTTATGGATAGTAACAGACCAATTGCAAAAACTTAATGTCACTGATCCATTATTCTATGGATTGAGGCTCACACTTTTAATATCTGGGTTGCCTGTTCTAGTGCAGGTTGCTTTGGTGTAGTTGTAATATTGCTCACTATGTTGCAAAACCTGAAAATCTCCCCTGTTCACTTTTGATGTTCTATGCTGCTCAAAATAGGTTAAGGATCACCTGATTCTATAATATCACTCCAGTTAATCTGTCATATCATGGCAGATTAACTATAGTTATATGAAAGAATCTAGTGATCCTTAACTTTCGTGAGTAGTATATAGTAAATATCGGTTCATTTCCAAATGTAACCATGTCTGGAAATTATTGTGCAGAGAAAGCATGTTTACTCAAACTCCTTTCATTTCATTGTGTCACATAAGACAAGGTAACTTTATAATATATATGGCAAAATCTGTTATGAATTTCTTGTGTATTGTTGGCACTCTATTTGACTAAGGATAACTTGTTTCCTTTTTTTATGCTCCCCAGAACTTCCAAGTTAGCAAGGTTTCACTGTAAATGATTTTAATTAATCCTAATTAGTAATGTTTCAGTGACAGTATTAGTATAATTACAAATCCTAATTTCATAATCATTATTCCATGACTTTCCCAGCTTCAAGCTGAGGTGGAGGAAATTGAGGGAGTGTTACAGCAACACGACATCCTGCAACAGGACTACAGTCAGCTGGAACAGGACTACACCGAGCTTCTGAAGGACAAGGAGAAGCTTGAGCAGGACCTGATGGACAGTCAGACAGAGGACCTCAAGATAGATGAGGCACCCGAAGACCATGCTGAGTTGGTGAAGGAGAATGATGCCTTGGTAGCTGAGAAGGAACAGCTTCAAAAGACTGTGAGTGAACTGTGTAAGGCAAATACTACCCTGGAGGAAGACCTGAAGCTTGTGCATGTGGAACTGAAACAAGTGCAGATGGAATTGGAACAGGTTCAGACTGATCTGGAACATTCCAAGAAACGCCTTGAGTCTGGTTCTCTCACGAATGGGGAGACAGGGACAAAGAAAGCAATTGTGAAGTCTGAGAGTGATAGCAAACCAGAAAGGTCGCTCAAGATCAAGTCACTGCAGACGCAGATTTCCCATCTGCAGCAACAGTTAGCTGTACGTTTTTGATTGATTTCTAATCTTTTGATGAAAATATTTCAAGACTATTTTCTGTTGTGGTTCTTTGCTGTCCTGACTGAAGACGCTGACTGTTGTAATAATTTTCTGTGCCTGTGTTTAGTTTCTTTCAGTGTTTCGGTTGTCAGAGGAAGTAGCTCAGCTAAGAGTGTTGTTAGGTAAACTGGATGCTTGGCATTGACGTGGTTCGGGTATGGGCTTGTGTGTGAAAGACACGAGTGGCTCTTGATGGATGAGATAATTCCCAGCTGATGTAAGCTGTGCACATGCATGCCTAAAAGCTCAGTGGTTTTCGGATAATGTTTTTCAGCAATAATTGAATCTTTGCTTTTTGTACCATCTTGGTCAGTGACCACTCTGTATGACTGGATGCACAGACTGCAATGTATCTTAACATTGGGAGTTGGTTATACTTACAGCAACACACATCATTTAGCTCAACTGGGTGTAATGACCTTGAGATTATACAATGGCGCCAAACCATGTGTTATCTCTGTGTCTCAAACAAATATAAGTTGATATCATGGAACTATATCATTGAAGGTTACACAGCCAGGTTAAAACTAGTTTGAGACTTGTTTGCGTACAATATTTGTGACAGTAATTGTTTGAATATGACAATCTTATGGGCAGTAGTTAAGTAGGTATCAGGTCAGTCTCATAAAAATATCTCTGCTTATCTTTGGACTGATTCCTGGACAATAGCTTTGACAAGTATTTTGAAGGATTTAGGTTCAATTTGTGGACTGTTAAGGGTTTGATAGCCAGTTCAAAAGGTCATTGGTATGGGTTTACAAAACATCTACACCCAGTTGAGCACAAATCTGAAAGGATTTCTGTTTTCTGATAGTGGATGTAACAAGTGTGTTGTTTTGAATTAACCATTTATATTTTGAAATGTGCTATGTGTTTGTTGCAAATATTATTTTCATGTGAATTATGCCTTACGTATACTGTATCCTCTTCAATCCATAACTAGAAAGAAAATTCCCAAATAGAGTGTAGATTACCATAGTAATGTCATAGTCAGCATTTTCTAAAGTTGTCCCGGAATTTTGTCCATGGTAATTTTCAGTAATTTCTCTGAGCTATTTGACAATTCTCTTAATCTTCTCCTGTGATACAATATAGAATATGAGTTCAACACGGAATATGTATGTTTCAGGAATTTGACCGGCAGCATCAGGATATTGTCAGTGTCTACCGAACTCATCTTATTAGTGCTGTACAGGTGAGACATTTTGCTTCAGTAGCTGTCTTTGGCAAAGCTTCTTTGCTTAGTGTTACCATTATTAGCGCAGTTCAGAAGTTGTAGTATCAGTGAAGATGGAGTTGACATAACTATTTTCTTCATGCTTACAATGTGACATTTTGGTGGAGATGCTAGCAAATGTTCCATGAGGGCTCTTGCATCTGTACGGGGCGGTCGGGTAGCCTGGTGGTTAAAGCGTTTGCTTGTCACGCCGAAGATCCGGGTTCGATTCCCAACATGGGTACAATGTGTGGAGACCTTGTGCCCCTCTTCAAAATATTGCTGGAATTTTGCTGAAACCATACTCACTCACTCACTCACTCACTCACTCACTCACTCACTCACTCACTCACTCACTCACTCACTCACTCACTCACTCACTCACTCACTCTGTACTGAAACACTGCATGGTAGAAAGAAATGAGTTAAATACATGGACTGGTTCATGAGTCAGCTGTCTTCCCTTAAGGTTTGTTGTTGTTCAGTTTTTTTATGATTGGAACCATTACCTGGGAAACAGTAATCTTAGGTATAGCAATGTTCGACAAGCAGCCTTTGAAATACATGCTAGTCTGCTGACCAAGACTACTAAACTGTGATCAGGACAAGTAAGAATCCTATGATTGTAATGCTCATTGACCAGTAGCATATGAGGGCATTTGATTTTACTAAGGTGGTAAATATTCCTGCCACATAAAGCTGACACACAGAGATACAACCGAAATGTTATGCAGTGAAACTCAAATAACTCATTCTCAATGGCCTTGTTCCATGAGTGAGTGAGTGATTGAGTATGGATTTACACTGGTTTTAGCAATATTCCAGCAATATCCCATCGGGGGACACCAGAAATGTGCTTCACACATTGTACCCATGTGGAGAATCAAACCCGGACCTTCGGCATGATATGTGAAGGCTTAAACCATTCGGCTATCCCACCACCACTTGTTCCATGAAGCCATCTTAGCACTGTGAACTCTCCCAACACAGATTTCTGACGTTGTTTGTTTGTTGTTTACCACCACACTCAGCAATATTCCAGTATATTATGGCAGTCTATAAATAATCAGGTCTGGACCAGACAATCCAGTGATTGATATCATGAGCATCAATCTAAGTAATTGGGGATACAAAGACATCCATCAAGCAAGTCAGCAAGCCTGACTACCTGATCCCATTAGTCGCCTCTTACAACAAGCAAAGTCGCCTTTTACGGCAAGCATGGTTTGCTGAAGACCTATTCTAACCCAGATCTTCACGGGTCAGACTTCGGATGGTTGTAGTGCAAACATTGCCTGTTGAAATGAGCTCTGCGACTCCTTCCGAGTTAGAATCGGTCCACAGCAACCTTTGGCGGCTGTAGTTGGCTGAATGGATTGTGGTTTGGCTTGGTAACTTGTCCTTGTGATCTGACAATGTGGGATTATGCCAGGTATTTATCTAGGATTCCAAAGTAAGTATGATACCTTTGCAGGCAAATTGAGAAACATTGTGATATTGTTCGAAATTTGATAAAAAAAATTAAGGTTCTTATTTTGTAAATTTTCAATAATTGGGTTGGGTTTTTTTTATTAAAAAGGGAATTTGTACTGTCCTTTGCTGCAGATCTGGGTCCAATATCAGCTTCTCAGCAGGTCAAGATAAATCCCTGGTTGCTGATAATACTAATCACAGGCTACCATCATATAATACAGCTTTAAGCAAAACCAGACTGAATGTGTATTGTGTATTTTCAGGGTCACATGGATCCCGATGTGAAACAAGCCTTGCACCAAATCATTGAACTACGCAGTATGGAACAGTTCTGTTGACAGCTGTCATCAGAGTTGAGACATCACCGCACCTGTAATGTGATATTGTATTACACCACACCAAGTGATTGGTATCATAGATAATTTATGGAAATAGTGTCTGTATGTGAAAGCCATTCAATATATTTCATTTTTAAAGTTTGCGTGACGACAAATGTTAAAGTGAAGAATGAATCTATTGAACAGAAGACATGCTGAAGTGAAGTACCGGTATTGAATCTATTGAATTCTTGTCGGAAATAAACTTAGCAGTTTGACATGGAGGGCCATTGTTAAAACAAAGTGTTATTATATAACCATTGTTAAACTACATGAATGTGTGTTCCATTCATTTGATCAAAGTTTGAAGAATATCAGATATTTATATTAACAATTGATGTCCGATTGTCAGCACTGCTTTTAGTATTATGCTCAAGATTTGAAATACAATTTTGGGGTAACAAGAATATTTCTCCACAACCGTTCTTACCGTGTTTAATAGTTTTCCATTTTCTACTTTGCTCTGTATCTTAAGGTTATTTAGATGTTTATAGATTTTAGATATTGTTGGTTAGTTTCCTGTTTCTATCATTCAGCACTTTTGCATCAACGTTTTAAGATGTTTTACACACAATGTTAAGTTTGAATCGTGAAAAGGGAACTTTTACAAACAAAAAAGCTACATTTTTATTCATATGTTTCCTCTGTGTCAAAACGTGTATTTTTAACCCAAAGCTGCAATATATTATGTACATAGGTACTATGTAGCAAACTAGAAATGATCAAGAATAAATTACCGTGAAAATTAGAATATTTATTTTAATAATTCCTCTTAAATAATGAAGGTAGAACAATGGCAATAATAGAATTTATGGAATTGATAATTCCGGTCATCGAAGTTGGTCCAAATGATAATAGATTTATAAATGATAACCCTCACAGTGTCTCTTATACATGTAGATTGGGTGCTAGATATATCATATTATTACTTGTGTTTTATCAAATTCTGTTGTTTTATAACTGGTATCACATGTGTTTGTTCAACTTGAATATACCTCAAACTTTTCTGAGTATTTTCTGTCACAGGATGTAACATATTCTGTGCTGTTTTGCTATAGCCTCATGCCAGTAAAACCTAAGCTTGTATTAGAAGTGCCTAGTTCAGTCTTTAGACTTAGCACTCAAGTAGCAAGCTGAAAATAAACACCATCAGGCAATGATGAATAGTGCTGGAAGACAGATAATTGTTTTCAGTATGAAGAAAATGGATTTTGAGTGTAAATAAAATGCATCTATTATTTCCCTTAAAACTGGCTTTGCTTCCATGTAGTGTCTTTGGTAATTACAAAGAATTGAGAATGTTCTTCTTCAGCCTTATGTTGCAATATTGGTCTTGAAGGCAGAGACTCTCTATAATACTGTAATATGACATCTGTAACGAGGTGTGTAGGTAGATAGATATTTTCCCAAATAGAGTGGTTTGGGGCCTGTCTTCCCGTTATTGTTTACAACTTTGTGTCAACAGCTACCAATGTTTAAGTGGTTGTAGGGTAGCCAGGTAGCCAGTGCTCCCCTTGACATGAACCTGATCCAGGTTTTGTTCCCACAGGAGTTAAGTATGTACCCTCCATTGCTATCACTAGAATATGAAGCAAGAAAGCTCATGTATCAGAAGTCAGTCACAGTGTGTGTGGAATATTGGAGGATGCAGATGGAGTAATCTATCGGCACTATTAGATTCTTGCATCCTTTGAGAAGGAGCCATCATGTCAGTGTTTTGGTGTTCATGGACACCGGTAATACACCAATACCTGTTCACTGATCTTTCAGCTCCTATTTGTTGATGCCTTCAGTATAGTATGATTTATGGCAAAGCAAACTAAATGCATGAACTTGAGAAAATATTATTTTTAATTTGTTTGTAATTAAATAATGTTTTGCTTGTACGTATGTTAAAAACTATGAAGGGAGTCTTTCCCAAATGTATGCAGTTATGTTATTCGTTTATATATGATGGGGTATAACTTTAGTATCACTTGAAAGTTTTTGTCTCAGATTTTAACATTATACACTGTTTATCATTTATATGATGTGTTGTTTAGAAAGAATTTTTGTATGAATTCAATCATTTAAACATTCCAAGTCTCCATCATGCCATCGTTGCAATGTCCAAAAATCAAAAGTATATATATGTCATGTCATACTCATTTGAAAATATTGTGTTTACAAATTTATGAGAATATGTGTCAGAGGGTAGACAGATGGCATCAAAAGATCCATAGATGGATCACATTTGAACTGAAGAAGAGGACGACTCTGTACATCATTGCTAACAGCTTCCATTGGTTTGTACATGCACTACAGCAAGGCCATGCAAGGTTCCTTCCCATGTAGTGCATTTTATACCATCAACGTTGTATTTGTGATGCATTGCATACCATAAAGTTTGTATTTGTGATGCATTGCATACCATCAAGGTCGTATCTGTGATGCATATATACCTTCAAGGTCATATCTGTGATGCATATATACCTTCAAGGTTGTATCTGTGATGCATATATACCTTCAAGGTTGTATCTGTGATGCATATATATCATCAAGGTCATATCTGTGATGCATATATACCTTCAAAGTTGTATCTGTGATGCATATATACCATCAAGGTCATATCTGTGATGCATTGCATACCATCAAGGTCATATCTGTGATGCATTGCATACCATCAAGGTCATATCTGTGTTGCATATATACCTTCAAGGTTGTATCTCTGATGCATATATACCATCAAGGTCATATCTGTGTTGCATATATACCTTCAAGGTTGTATCTCTGATGCATATATACCATCAAGGTCGTATTTGTGATGCATTGCATACCATCAAGGTCATATCTGTGATGCATTGCATACCATCAAGGTCGTATTTGTGATGCATTGCATACCATCAAGGTCATATCTGTGATGCATTGCATACCATCAAGGTCGTATTTGTGATGCATATATACCATCAAGGTCATATCTGTGATGCATTGCATACCATCAAGGTCGTATTTGTGATGTATTGCATACCATCAAGGTTGTATCTGTGATGCATATATACCATCAAGGTCGTATTTGTGATGCATTGCATACCATCAAGGTCGTATCTGTGATGTATTGCATACCATCAAGGTTGTATCTGTGATGCATATATACCATCAAGGTCGTATTTGTGATGCATTGCATACCATCAAGGTCGTATCTGTGATGCATTGCATACCGTCAAGGTCGTATTTGTGATGCATTGCATACCATCAAGGTCGTATTTGTGATGCATTGCATACCATCAAGGTCGTATCTGTGATGCATATATACCATCAAGGTCGTATTTGTGATGCATTGCATACCATCAAGGTCGTATTTGTGATGCATTGCATACCATCAAGGTCGTATTTGTGATGCATATATACCATCAAGGTCATATCTGTGATGCATTGCATACCATCAAGGTCGTATTTGTGATGTATTGCATACCATCAAGGTTGTATCTGTGATGCATATATACCATCAAGGTCGTATTTGTGATGCATTGCATACCATCAAGGTCGTATCTGTGATGTATTGCATACCATCAAGGTTGTATCTGTGATGCATATATACCATCAAGGTCGTATTTGTGATGCATTGCATACCATCAAGGTCGTATCTGTGATGCATATATACCATCAAGGTTGTTTCTGTGATGCATTGCATACCATCAAGGTCGTATCTGTGATGCATTGCATACCATCAAGGTCGTATCTGTGATGCATATGTACCATCAAGGTCATATCTGTGATGCATTGCATACCATCAAGGTTGTATTTGTGATGTATTGCATACCATCAAGGTTGTATCTGTGATGCATATATACCATCAAGGTCGTATTTGTGATGCATTGCATACCATCAAGGTCGTATCTGTGATGTATTGCATACCATCAAGGTTGTATCTGTGATGCATATATACCATCAAGGTCGTATTTGTGATGCATTGCATACCATCAAGGTCGTATCTGTGATGCATATATACCATCAAGGTTGTTTCTGTGATGCATTGCATACCATCAAGGTCGTATCTGTGATGCATTGCATACCATCAAGGTCGTATCTGTGATGCATATGTACCATCAAGGTCGTATCTGTGATGCATTGCATACCATCAAGGTCGTATTTGTGATGTATTGCATACCATCAAGGTTGTATCTGTGATGCATTGCATACCATCAAGGTCGTATTTGTGATGCATTGCATACCATCAAGGTCGTATCTGTGATGTATTGCATACCATCAAGGTTGTATCTGTGATGCATATATACCATCAAGGTCGTATTTGTGATGCATTGCATACCATCAAGGTCGTATCTGTGATGCATATATACCATCAAGGTTGTTTCTGTGATGCATTGCATACCATCAAGGTCGTATCTGTGATGCATTGCATACCATCAAGGTCGTATCTGTGATGCATATGTACCATCAAGGTCGTATCTGTGATGCATTGCATACCATCAAGGTCGTATTTGTGATGTATTGCATACCATCAAGGTTGTATCTGTGATGCATTGCATACCATCAAGGTCGTATCTGTGATGCATATATACCATCAAGGTTGTATCTGTGATGCATTGCATACCGTAAAGGGTTGTATCTGTGTGATGAAATGCATACCATCAAGGTCACATCTGTGATGCATATGTACCATCAAGGTCATATCTGTGATGCATTGCATACCGTCAAGGGTCGTATCATCAAAGTTCATGTCTCTGTGATGCATTGCATACCACCATGTTCTTTCCCATGTTAAAGTGCACACTATAAAGTTTCCTCCCTATTTTACACCTCACCAGACATGTTGTCATCTATGCATTTTGATACTGGGCTACAATGTATGTAGAAACTGAGATTTACCAAAGAGTTTTGATTTAAATGTCATGATTGAGATTCAGTGCTAAGATGATACTGTATGTCCTAGGGATTTCCCTACTTTAATGTTTGGATATCAATCAATATTGAACAAACAACATTCCATAAATGTTAATTTTGCTAAAATGTTTGTCTACCAGCGTGTATGACAGCACAACATAATATATCCTGATGTCCTCTAAGTACCAGAGAATCCACGCCATTACATCCTGACAATAAGTTATGCTGCATGAAAATTTGCAAGAATTCTTAGCACTATCTGGATTGTTATTAACAGAAGTATTTATCCATGCATGGTCGTAAGTTCTATATATACTCAATATTTCCATGTAAACATTTATTTGCAGAATATGTAGTTGTAAAAAATAGAATTTGAGTGATAGGCCGATGTCACTTCAGATAAATACTAATCTTCATCGCTGGCAGTGACTACTGGTACCCTAGGAGTGCTGTAATAGGCTTGAAGTACTCTTTGTTGTGAGAAGCAGGTGCCTGTTTCACAGTGTCCATCATCGGCCTGTGCCTTCAGTGTATTGGATGACATCACTAATACTTCACACACTGACAATGGTTTATGGAGTTTGAGATTACAAAGATGTCGGTGACAGGGAGTGTACTTTATGACTTATTTTTGGTCAGTCTCATTTTACAGCCATCAATCGTGTTTGTTATAACTGGATCATCAAGTGAAAATAGTATTGTTGTTGGTAATATTCGTCAAATTTTCTAAGAAGTTTTCAAATGAATTATCGACTTCTCATGTGACATTCTTTTCATAATCTCAGCCAATCTCAGAGAGTCCCAGGCGGTTATTTGTTGAATGTTATTTTCAATGCATGTTGCATTTAGTAGAAGTCCTGATTTTTATTATTATTATTGAACAAAGCTGAAAAAAAAGAGAGTTAGGAATCATGAATATTTTGGGGGATATATTTTGTAGTGACAAATGAGCACATAATTTCCTAAAAATATTCCCCAAAATATTCATAATCCCTCACCTTTTTTTGTTCAGTATATAAATATATATATATGTATGAATCATGAAGAAATTCTCTAGAATTTGAAACTGCCAGAATCTGTATGAGCGTGATGGTCAGTATTGATACTCCGCATGTCATGAACATGCATCTAACACAACATATATTTAATGCCCAAGAAGTTCATGAGGTTTCAGTGTATAATAACAATGGACAATAATCTGTTTCTGTCTGAATACATACATTACCCACCGGCAGTCTTTTACGTGTGTTCACTTCAGATTGAAGTACCAAACTATATTTGGTATCTATACTTAAGCTTGATAAGGGACAGACAATATATGATTGCTCTGACACAAGTAAGGTCATGCATAGTCAGCTTTTCATTAGTGCTTGACAGTTATTACAAAGCAGTATTGATAATGTTCATAATAGTTTGGCAATAGTGTAATTAACCCATCTTCAGCAGTACACAGTTGTAACCACCCCACGTTTACAGAGCTTCGAGCTACTGACATGGACAATGTATTAAAGGCTGTGACACCTTTTTCATAAGAGGTCTGCCGTAAGAGGCAACTATGCTTGTCGTAAAAGGCGACTAACGGGATCGGGTGGTCAGGCTCGCTGACTTGGTTGATGCATGTCATCGATCCCAATTGCGTAGATCGATGCTCATGATATCAATCACTGGATTGTCTAGTCCAGACTCCATTATTTACAGACCGCCGTCATATAGCTGGAATATTGCTGAGTGCGGCGTTAAACAACAAACCAACCAACCAAACCAATCATAAGAGGTCATTATAAGCTCAACATTTCCAGACCAATGTAACATGAGACAAAATTTGTCAGCCAAGTTCCCTTCTTGTGTACTGTGTAAAAAAGTGATGCCCAAGTGGGTTTCAGTTGACAAATATGGCAAACTGTACGATATATGATACGATCAAATCCTTTGTACATGATTTGTGACACCATGAAGCCGGCACTAAGTTTGGGATTACACAAAACAGAAATTAATCCATTTTTTCAAGGACATACAGGCTCAACATTGTAGTTTTTGGCTTTATAACCTATCTAGTAACATGATAAATTTGCTATAGATATACCATACAGTGACATCACAAAGTCTGCTGACTGTTCATAAGTGTTTAAGGTGCGCACAGTAATATTTGTAGGGGAAAATGACTGCAGCTAACCCAAATAGCATCACCCTTGTTTGATGGAGTTGTTGACTAAACAAAGCACCACCAGAGTGAAGTGGACCAACATTTAAAAATGTGCTGAAAAGACATATGCTATTGCTTATATCCTGTGAAGTTAGGTATATTTTAGTTTTGTATTTAGTTATCTTTTCATGGATGCATGTTACATTTAGTCGTTGTACATGACTGCAGAAGCATTGAAATGTTGAAGTCCTCATGTCTGATTTCAGCTGAGTACTGTACACAGTTTCTTCACAACTGTGTGGCGAGACGGACAGCTGAGGTGTCTGTGATTTGTTGTAGGCATAATTGGCTTGAGAAGTGTACAATAATTTAGACTGAAGTCCTAAAATGTAATCTTGCCTTAATCTTATCTGTGAAAATCAAATGTTCTGATTGTAGTTAGACATTGCCTGCTGAGTACACCAAGTAGGATCTGTGATATGGTTACACATTACCGATATTTGTGAAGACGTTGCAGGAAACGAATTTGGCAAACATGTGATGCAATTAACTGCATAATTTGAGGAGTTGTATTATAATGTCTAAGCTGTGAATAAGTCACTAAGTACCGGTATCATCATTTTCTGGTTATTGTTGACAAAGGTGCACAGTCTGTACCAACAGCCAGCCAAGCTGTGTTAATCAAACATAAAAAAACATACACAACCTTGTCAAATACTTTATTTGCAGTTTTTTGCAAATTCATTTTGATACGCCACAGGTAACAAACTGGCTGAAATATTAATCATATATTTCATACAATATCATCTGAACCATTATATTGTCACTCCATGAACTCTTATATGTATATATATTGTCATGGGATTCATTTCATCATTAACATTATGATAATTTTCTTGTGAGAATTGTTCCCAAGCATCACGCTTGAGTTGATTTGCACAGATCTTGATCAATTAAATCAAATTACTGAATTTACTTATAAATGATTTTTGAGTTGATTCCTTAGGAAATTAATCAAAAATTATTTCCACATACAAGGATTGAGTCTTATGGCAACATAGACACCAGCATTTTATATTTATAAACATACATATATATATACATATCGCATCTTGGAGTAACCTCAGACATATGCTCATATACTTATTTGAACAAAGAATAAATTATCATGTGTCTGCAATGTTTTTGTTGTTCTTCATTGTGGTTTATACATGTTATAAACCTCCTAGTAGTCATATAGACAATGCACCTTGACATGAGATGCCTTCTGAGTGGTTGACTCGATGTAAGTGAGTGAGTGAGTTTTATGCTGCTTTTAACATTAATCCAGCCATAGCAGGGAGGTGAGGTGAAATGGGGTTTATTGTCGCATTGAAGATTATTGTACTTAAATAGCGATGTGCATGCACGTGTGTGGCTGCTTGTATTGTCCGGACTAATGCCGATTTAATAGTGCCAGCCCATTGAGATACCATGCCTCAGTTTAACATGAAAACCCCACTCACAGTATAACCTTCATACCAAATCCCAGGCAGGGTAACAATAAGTACCATCTTTTAATGTCTTTTGGTATGATGCGGCCTAGGATTAAACCCCGGACCTTCCACTCTCCACAGCGGGGAACAAAAAATGTGGTTTACATGCTGTCTCCATGTAAGGAGTCTCACCCAGCCTTGGCACACTGCCTGTTGGTGTGTTTGGTTGTTGTTTTAACTCCACACTCTAGCGATATTCCAGCAATATGACAGCAGTCTTTAAATAATTGTTGCTGCAACAGACAATCCAGTGATTGACATCATGAGCATCAATCTACACAAATGGGATACAATGACATTCAAGGGCAGTTGAATATTCCGCTTCAATGTGACATGCAAGGATAGTTAAATAATCCGCTTCAATGTGACATTCAAGGATAGTTGAATATTCCGCTTCAATGTGACATGCAAGGGCAGTTGAATATTCCGCTTCAATGTGACATTCAAGGATAGTTGAATATTCCACTTCAATGTGACATTCAAGGAGAGTTGAATATTCTGCTTCAATGTGACATGCAAGGATAGTTGAATATTCCGCTTTAATGTGACATGCAAGGGCAGTTGAATATTCCGCTTCAATGTGACATGCAAGGGCAGTTGAATATTCCGCTTCAATGTGACATGCAAGAATAGTTGAATATTCCGCTTCAATGTGACATGCAAGGATAGTTGAATATTCCGCTTCAATGTGACATGCAAGGGCAGTTGAATATTCTGCTTCAATGTGACATGCAAGGGCAGTTGAATATTCCGCTTCAATGTGACATTCAAGGATAGTTGAATATTCTGCTTCAATGTGACATGAGTGTTGCTGAATACTCTGATTCAATCTACGTTTGTATAGCGGCTGCATGTGTGCGTGCGTGCGTGAACTAGTCCGGAGTAATAGTGGTTATATAGTGAGATATCATGCCTTAGTTTTACATGGATACCTCACTCAGACACAGTATACTGTCACCGAGCCAACCAGTCTTTGTGTTATCTCCTTAATGCTGAATGGCAGGCAAGGTAACAAGAAGTACCATCTTTCAACATATTTTGGTATGACACGACCAGGGATCAAACCACCGACTTTCCTCTTTCCGAGCAGATGCTCTATCTACTAGACTACAGAGGCAGTCTGATATAAATGAATATTCTGCTTCAATGTGATATGAGAGACAACAGAATATTCTGCTTCAATGTGACATAAGAGACAACAGAATATTCTGCTTCAATGTGACATGAGAGGCAACAGAATATTCTGCTTCAATGTGACATGAGAGACAACAGAATATTCTGCTTCAATGTGACATGAGAGACAACAGAATATTCTGCTTCAATGTGACATGAGAGACAACAGAATATTCTGCTTCAATGTGACATGAAAGACAACAGAATACTCTGCTTCAATGTGACATGAGAGACAACAGAATATTCTGCTTCAATGTGACATGAGAGGCAACAGAATATTCTGCTTCATTGTGACATGAGAGGCAACTGAATATTCTGCACCAGTACGGCACAAGTAGACGTCTGAAGCTGACCTCAACCCCCTGATCCCTCCTTGGTGGCCAGGAGGACAAAGTTCCTGGGTGACAGCTGAGGGTCAAATATTGGCACCAGCACACTGGGGACTCCTGTAATGAGAAGGATGTTTAAGTCAGATATTCTACATCAATGAGTTCCTATGTCATGTAAGAAGCATTTCCTTTATTATAGGGTGAGGTTAGAGGACAGGGTTTTAACATCAGGTTTAAGATTATTGCACTTATTACACTTACCGCTGCATATAGTGACATGCATGCAGGTGTGTGTGTGTATGGCTGCTTGCAAGAGTCTGGACTTATGTTGGTGTAATGGTGCTAGTCCACTGAGATACCATGCTACAGTTTAACAGGATACCACCAATATACTGACTCCGACCAGTCCTTGTTTTATTCCCTAAAGCCAAGCACCAGACAAGGTAGCAACAAGTACCATCTTTTAATGTTTTTTGGTAAGACATGGCCAGGGATCAAAACCATTGACCTTCCACTTTCCAGACAGACGCTCTATCCACTACACCATGGAGTCAGTCCTTATTGTAGGGAAGGGGTGTCTGTTGACTACTAGTATATTGTCAGCCTTGCAAGTTTCTTGATTTTGTTTGTTTGTTTCTTGCTTAATGCCACACTCAGCAATATTCCAGCTATAGGACGGCAGTCTGTAAATAATCAAGTCTGGCAAGAAACACTATCTTCTAGAGACCGCCTCTGTGGTCTAGTGGTAGAGCGTCTGCCCAGAGAGTGGAAGGTATTCATGTTAGACTGCGGCATGGTGTCTCAGTGGGCTAGCATTATAAAATCAGCATTATTCCAGACTAGTACAAGCAATACGGTATGATATACGCAATTGGGATACGGTGACATGCATCAACCTAGTCAGCGAGCCTTACCACCCACTCTCGTAAGTAGCCTCTTACAACAAGCATGGGTTGCCGAAGACCTATTCTTCCCCGTATCTTCAGGGGTCGCCAGTTTCTTGGTCACCTTCACACAATCATTGTCTATGACCCATGTCTAATGATCCAAAATTACAAAAATAGTTCAAATTCAAACAACACAATTTGCAAAATCCTGACACAACTAAGGGACACAACTCTGCAAAGCGACATGCAGCAACTTTGACTTATGTGCCAGCTTGGGATGAACTTGAGCCTACACTAATGATACCAAAGTGAGCTTGGGCAGATAGTCTCGAGGCATTCAGCCAATCCAGGGAGAGTGACTGACCGTGTTCCAGGAGGTACAGCATCCTGTCTAGGAGGAGGAGGGTTTCCACCACCGGCGCCAGGCACAGTCTCAGGGTGTAGAACACAACAACGTCCTTCCATAAGGGGAGGTAACTCTCAGCAACACCCAAAACTTCAGGTGGAATGTCTGATGTAAAGCCAATCTTTTCAAGTGCACTCTTTGCATAGCTGATAATTAAAGTATAGATAATGCTAGGTATAAAATCAGCTCATACAGCGTGTACTCTCAGCAATCAAAAGATTCCCTTTCTCGCATTCTTATGTGCTGAACTAATAGGAGGGGAACTATTCTTGATTAACATCATATTAACTCAACTTGTATTGAATATGATAAAGCATTATGCAAACATGCCTGGTAGTGAGGTGCTTATCCATGGCACATTTAAAGGGAGACCACTCCACAGCCATTGCTGACAAGTCCAGGCATTTTAAGTGTGGGGTGCTAAACTAGGATATAACTGACTATTAAAGTCCAGTTTCCATCCTTGCCAACTAGTCTTTGAAAACTGGACTTTTATAGTCACTTTGATCACAAGGGCAATAATCCCTACCTCTCAAATGACTGATCGGTGGCACGTTTGACTGTCAGCTTCAGGAGTCCATTCTGGAAGTCCGGTCTGACTGCCAAGATGACATACTGGAGGGCCGCCCGGTAGCTGTGGATCTTCAGGTGCACTGGGTTGTCTGCGAGGTGAGGACATGTTACAGATATCTACCAAACATTAACAATACATCTTGTTCAACTTTGTGTTTTGAACTAAAAAAACACGCAATGCAACATTGAGGTAGTGATTTTACACAGATGCCGTCCATGTACGTGTACTCAACATTGCAAAAGTGTAGTTTAATATTCTGGTCGGCTGTGATGCACCGTAATATTACAAGATGATCGCATCATCAATGTGATCATCAAATTATAGATTCTATGGTTTATACTGCAACATCCTCTACTGATCTGCAGTATCAAAAGTTGTCCTCTGTTGATTGTAAGGAACCTATCAAATATGAGAATTCAATCTCATCATCGAACTTACACAAATGAGTCATTACTCCGTTACATCATTTATGATGCCCGACAAACTCCTTTCGTACAAAATTTCGCCTTCATTTGCGGAGCACGGAACACAATGGCAGCTAAGAAACCCACAATAACTGTTCCACTCATCCCTGAGGTCCAGGATTACCTTTCAGCCTCTGTATGTAACAATCCGCAAAGTGACAAGCCAGCTCCCGAGACGAGTATGTGAGATTGGCATCCTGCAGACCAGCAACAAACTGACTCATGGGATAGCCGATGTCTTGCTGGGCAGATGACCTGCAATACAAAGAGAAGGAGCAGGAAATAATACTTTCTCATCAGTAAGTGAGTGAGTTTGGCTGCTTTGGACAGTGTTTCAATTCTATCACATTGTGTCAGCTTGATGTAGGAGGAAAGCCCTAAGTGTATACATTGTAGACAATTACCACTCTAATGAAGACCACGAGCCGGGTGTGATCCTGATGCTGCTGTTGCATGCAAGGGTCGTAATCGGGGCAAATCTGGGATCTGTGGCATACCAAGGGAGGCAACTCTGCACAGCAAATTATGGTATTAAACAACTGGTCCACTCATTCCCCCTGATAATATTGCATGGTGGACAGAGTGCTGTAAGGGGACAATTAAAGAGAGAATTGTGTTGGGCAATGTCTCGATACAGTAAAGCCTGTTAATCCAGAGGGTACTGATTCAAAAACAAATTCTAACATTACCAATATCTGTATAGGCATGATAAGTGAATCATTGTAATAATGTTCCTTTAACCATACGTTCCTTTTCCAAAAGTAATCATCTAGAGGACAGGTTAGGTCGAAATGGGGCTTAACGCTGTTACAGATTATGTGTGGCTGCTTGTACAAGTCCAGACTAATGCTGATTTTATGGTGTTAGCCCTCTAAGATACTATGCCGCTATGTGTACTGATTTTGAGCCAACCAGTCCTTGTTTAAGACCCTTGATGCCAAGCGCCAGGCAGGGTAACAACAAGTACCATCTTTGAAAGTCTTTTGGTATGATTCAGCTGGGACTCGAACCTCCGGTTAGACACTCTACCACTAGACCACAGAGGCAGTCTCCAGATGACAGTATTTCTAGATTGACAGGGTGTCGACCAACAAGGTTTCACGGGACTCCAAAGTGATTATTGTAACATCAGATAATAATGTTGATATGGATCATCTTCACTGATCCAGGCCCCATACCACAGAGCAATCTTAGCACTACGACAATCATAAGCCTATGTTAAAGTATGGGAGTTACAATCACAGTATCACAAATTGTAACCACTCTTTGAGTTGGTTCTTAATCAAGCAGGTCTACTTGGGACTTATACTTTACTACAGTCAATGGGACACTAGCATGGGACAATGGGGTGACTACACTGCCCAAGAACCAAAAGGACTGATCATGGATAGATCCTTTTGCAAGGCAATGAAACGCACCCTGGCACATCCCCCTCCACAGAGAGCTTCATGTAGCAGCAGCCCACAGATGCGAGTCCCACAGCAGCCTCACAGTTGACGAACATCCGGATGAGGGTGGATGTCAGGTCTCCACAGGCATGGAGCCCATCCAGCACAAACTGGTCATCGGCCTCTACCTCCCCAGACTTGTCTGTTTCCATGGTAACCTGGTGTTTTTGATTGCTGTCTCTGTTTTGAATTTCACATTTTGACATGTTCTTTGTATCTGTAATATCTTTGGTAATATCAGAGGTTGTTTTCTTTGGATTGCACATACATGAGTTGGTTTTGTTTGGAGCGAAGGCCTGACTATCCGTGTCCTGACTATCCGTGTCCTTCACATCTCCATCTTGAGTATTAACATGATAAAAGGTATTTTTGATGACATCACTTTCTACACTACCATCGTTCCCCCTACTCGCTGTTCCATTGGCACACACAGTCTTCAAGCTCTCATTTTGATTCATTTGATGACTTTCAAGATGGCTGCCGTTGCCCGTCTGCTCCCAGCACTGTTCTGTCTGCTGCTCATGTCTGTTGTGTTTGATAAGAGCCAGGAAGTCCCTGGTAGAGATGTGAGCATGTATGCGACTGACGACATGGCTGGGCAGCCGACCAGCAGGTTCCAGCCACTCATTCACAGACTCTCTCACCTCCAGCTTCTGTTTCTGAAAGAGTACCACAGTAACACAGTTGACTCGTCTCAAGCAGCAATTGAAGTCAACAGTATCTGAATTTCATAGTATCCAATTTTGGGTGATTCCAACCTCTCCATCCCAAGCATTTTGAATATGATGGTGTAGGGAAATAGTGAATGAGTTGGCTTTACGTTCACAATGCAAAGAATTTCTTTGATAAATAAAGGTGGGATTTTTCTTTACCAAACCTAATTTGTTCAAGATAAAACTGGAAAGAATCATTTCCACCCAGTTGAACTGATCGCACACTAGATGTCCTGAAATTTATTTTTAATTTGTTCAGTTCTGACACAAACTTTCTCAAGCAGTGACTACTAGAAATACCCAGTCTCTACTTTAACCCTCTACCCCTTAATATATTAAATGGCAGGTCCCTGACTCACCTTCAGTTTTGCTTTTCTGATGTTCTTCTTTGTTTCCCTGTGAGGGAATCAGAAACATGTAGATAATACCAGCAGGAAACAAATCAGGTCACATGTAAGGGACAGTTGACATCATTAAAACGAGCATTATTACTTCCCTTGTCTGATGACCATGATTACCAGATTATATTCTTGGAATTCATAATACATGCAGTACAACAGCATATTGTTGTGAAGAAGACAACCTAGTCTCTGAAATTAAAATATTTTACAGCAAATACAGTTATTTTAATAAATTATCATAAAAATGAGCCCAGAGACACTTTTAATTTTCCTGCAACTTCAGTAATCCAAACTTACCAACTACTATAGTCTTGCATGGGCTGTATTGAATATATTTGTTTCAGGGTCTGTATGACAGACTAAATAGAAAAGACAAAACTTCTCGGTCATGATCATATTGCAATGATAGTCAACTCTACATCAGCATGTACCTGTCATACTGTTCTGCCTTGGGAGCATGACCCCCTTCAGCCTCAACCGTTGTGACCTTAACCCCATGAGCAAAGGTGAGGAGCCTTGAGAGGTGACCTAGGCCTGCCCCAACATCCACAACCTGCGAGCACCGACACTGGCAGCAAAGATGGCTGATAGTCTGGAGAGGCAACATGGGAAGGCTCACAGGTTAATATTACAATACCTTGAATGTTCAACCATGTTTTCAAGTAGATGTCAGGATAGAAAAAGTGAATGATTATGACAAGCATGATATTTAAGTGCTTGCGAGGGTAGGTTTAATGTCTCCAATATCCCCATATAGTGTCAGCCTGCAAAACACAATTACAAACCAGTGGTCGATATAGTGAGCATGTACTGCTCACCTGGGTTGTGATGCAACAATATGTCATCCAAGTCAGAACTGAGTGCTGTCTGATGTCACACTCAGCAATGATACAGAACTATAGTACAGCAGCCTGTAAGTAACAAACCTTCAACCCCCCAACCCCACACCCACACATACACACACACACACCCCACCCCTACACACACACACACACACACACACACAAGGTTCAGGTCATTGTCACTACCTAATGATTTCTCACGCAAAAGTTTATTTTATCAGCTTAAGTTGTTCGGGAGGTCCAAAACCTATTTTCCAATATTGGGGGCGGTCGGGTAGCCTAGTGGTTAAAGTGTTCGCTCGTCACGCCGAAGACCCGGGTTCGATTCCCGACATGGGTACAATGTGTGAAGCCCATTTCTGGTGTCCCCCGCCGTGATATTGCTGGAATATTGCGTAAAACCAAACTCACTCACTCACTCACTATTTTCCAATATGGACGCTACTCCCCTCCCACAACAAGTACCAAGAACAGTCCCAAACCTACACTACAACAAGGTGTTACTACAGCAGCAATTTACAGATACCTGGCTCAGCTTCTGAATCTCATGCTGTTTCTTGGGTTTGACATGTTTCCTGTAGACATGTTCTAACTCCATCCATTGGCCATTCTTCATCACCCCGCGCCACTCTTCACGGGGGACAAAATGTGTGCTTGTATCACGTGACTCGGGGTCATGTCTGGACCCCTCCCCGTCGATGTCCTCACTTCCCTGTCGCGCTGTCTCTGTGTGTTGTCTTGGGACTTCCAGGTTGTTGAGGATGTTCTGCATCTGCTGTTCATCGTCCAGGTCAACTGGTTGACGTCTTGCAGCCAAACTCAGGACGCACATCCTATAGGACAAGAGTGACAGAGGGGGGACGCCACTGAAAAGAACAAAACAAATACCATTACAATAACACAGAATCAATTTCACAATAACCTCACTATTTTCTTTTATCATGAGGTGATGATGTGAACGTGTGAAGGTGAGGTGAGGTGAAATTAGGTTAAACGTCGCGCCCAAGATTATTGCACTTATATAGCAACGTGCATGCATGTGTGTGTGTGTGTGTGTGTGTGTGTGTGTGTGTGTGTGTGGCTGCTTTCACTAGTCCGGACTGATGCCGATTTATAGTGCTAGCTCACTGAGATACCATGCCCCAGTTTATTATGAATACCCCACTCAGACACAGTATACTGACTCCGAGCCGACCAGACCTTGTTTTAGCCCCTTAATGCCGGGCGCCAGACAGGGTAACAACAAGTACCATCTTTTAACGTCTTTTGGTATGACGCGGTCGGGGATCGAACCCCGGACCTTCTGCTCTCTGGGCAGACGCTCTACCACTAGACCACGGAGGCGGTCTGAACGAGTGAAGGCATTTGGCCACCATGTACAGGATCATCTGCACACATGGGTACAATCAGTATATCCGTGGGATTTAATCACTCCGATCGAAAGTGTGAAGCACAGCTTCTTCAAAGGTCAACATGAAGGAAGCTTTACATGGTTCAGCCCTAAACAGTACACCACTTCAGCCATTTCAGTGTGCAGTCCAGCCAACAACTTGCACTTGTTCTTTGAGAGTGATTGGTCACTTCCAATTCCACTGAACTTGGCAAGGGCAAACCAGGGCTGGTCAAGGCAAGTTATAGAAACTCTGTAGCCTGTCTAATCACATTCATCCCAAGCTTGACCATGGCTGGTGTGGCAGCATTGTCGTAAAAGAGTAACAATAGGGAGTCATCCAGGGAAGGTTGATGGGAAGCATGATATGCTGACCACCCAATAGCATCATCGGCCTTCAGATTTTCCTTGTCTAAACACATTCCGACTGTCACTTATCTGATTCTGACGTGACCCGTAATGGGATGTCCTCACATCTTTGTTGAGCAGAACAAGAACAAAGATCAGATTTTAGAGGAGGAAGGACAGGTGTGGAGGGGAGAGTGTTCTCAGATACTGAGTCAGGTGTAACTTACCTGTAGGTCTGTACATCAGGACAGAGGAGGAAGGACAGGTGTGGAGGGGAGAGTGTTCTCAGATACTGTGTCAGGTGTAACTTACCTGTAGGTCTGTACATCAGGACAGAGGAGGAAGGACAGGTGTGGAGGGGAGAGTGTTCTCAGGTACTGTCAGGTGTAACTTACCTGTAGGTCTGTACATCAGGACAGAGGAGGAAGGACAGGTGTGGAGGGGAGAGTGTTCTCAGACACTGTGTCAGGTGTAACTTACCTGTAGGTCTGTACATCAGGACAGAGGAGGAAGGGCAGGTGTGGAGGGGAGAGTGTTCTCAGGTACTGTCAGGTGTAACTTACCTGTAGGTCTGTACATCAGGACAGAGGAGGAAGGACAGGTGTGGAGGGGAGAGTGTTCTCAGGTACTGTCAGGTGTAACTTACCTGTAGGTCTGTACATCAGGACAGAGGAGGAAGGACAGGTGTGGAGGGGAGAATGTTCTCAGGTACTGTGTCAGGTGTAACTTACCTGTAGGTCTGTACATCAGGACAGACGAGGAAGGACTGGTGTGGAGGGGAGGGTGTTCTCAGGTACTGAGTCAGGTGTAACTTACCTGTAGGTCTGTACATCAGGACAGAGGAGGAAGGACAGGTGTGGAGGGGACAGTGTTCTCAGGTACTGTGTCAGGTCAGGTGTAACTTACCTGTAGGTCTGTACATCAGGACAGAGGAGGAAGGACAGGTGTGGAGGGGAGAGTGTTTTCAGGTACTGTGTCAGGTGTAACTTACCTGTAGGTCTGTACATCAGGACAGAGGAGGAAGGACAGGTGTGGAGGGGAGAGTGTTCTCAGGTACTGTGTCAGGTGTAACTTACCTGTAGGTATGTACATCAGGACAGAGGAGGAAGGACAGGTGTGGAGGGGAGAGTGTTCTCAGATACTGTGTCAGGTGTAACTTACCTGTAGGTCTGTACATCAGGACAGAGGAGGAAGGACAGGTGTGGAGGGGAGGGTGTTCTCAGGTACTGTCGGGGGTAACTTACCTGTAGGTCTGTACATCAGGACAGAGGAGGAAGGACAGGTGTGGAGGGGAGGGTGTTCTCAGGTACTGAGTCAGGTGTAACTTACCTGTAGGTCTGTACATCAGGACAGAGGAGGAAGGACAGGTGTGGAGGGGAGAGTGTTCTCAGGTACAGTGTCAGGTGTAACTTACCTGTAGGTCTGTACATCAGGACAGAGGAGGAAGGACAGGTGTGGAGGGGAGAGTGTTCTCAGGTACTGAGTCAGGTGTAACTTACCTGTAGGTCTGTACATCAGGACAGAGGAGGAAGGACAGGTGTGGAGGGGAGAGTGTTCTCAGGTACTGTGTCAGGGGTAACTTACCTGTAGGTCTGTACATCAGGACAGAGGAGGAAGGACAGGTGTGGAGGGGAGAGTGTTCTCAGGTACTGTGTCCAGCTGCCAGGAAGTCGACTCCAAAAATCAGACACAAAGAAATCCTGCAAGAAACAGGGCTCCAGATAAAGGCTGCATTGGTGTATGTAAGGATAAAAATATGCACGATACGGTAGAGGAGAATTTAGAAAATGTATCAGAACACATCACAGCATGTATGGACGGTCTAATATTCATAAATAGACGTAGATCCCAAAAGTTAAATTCTGATTTCAAGCAGCGTATTTACTTGAATATTTTGCGCACTTTTAAAAAAAAAACACAGCTGTGTAAAGGGGATGCCATTATACCCACTATAATGATCTGTGATGTTTTCTTCCTCAATGCAGATATTACTGTGAGCATGTAACACCAGAAATACCATTGCAACAAATCCGTACTGAAGTACGCAAAATAATCTGTAATAATAATGTAATTACTGTCCGGTTACAAAAAGTGTTCATTGTATATCTGGACTTATGATTGTAACTTATCTTAATAATTTCATTGAAAATTCATTCAATATTGTTTACATCAATTTCGGTGAAATCGTGTGTGAAGTGATTGGTATTTACAGCAACCACAGTCAGATTACCATTATTGACGCCTCGAAACAAACAGAGAATTGGGTACATATATCACAAATACAATACTTTGACTCATTTAAAGTCATATTTGTTGTAGTTTGACTGTTATAGGTCAACACAGATTTTTCATAAGCGTGAGCACCTCGGCAGTGACAGTTATATTGTTCCGTACGTAAAGATATCCAACAATAGCGATCAGCTGTACCAAAGTAAGTGTTATGCTTATGGTTATTATTATTTCAAATATATATAGTAAAGCAGCATGATAACATGATATTGGAATATATTATGCTTGATAAATAATAGTTTCAAGTTCAATTCTTCAAATCACTGCATCAAAATTCTTTAAGTTATATTACTGGATAATTTCTAACCGAATCACCAGAAGACATGGTAGATTGTGAGAAAACGTGTGTACAGCTGATTTCAGGGTTAGTTTACGAGAAAATACACACGGTAATCATGGTAATCTTAATCTCTGCATATAAAACGATTTTCCCCCAAAGTACTGAATACCCTAGAGGGGGGTGCGCATTATACAAATGTACAATGAAAAAAATATTATTTATTGTTTACATGAGAGTAGCAATGCTGTGGTGTATATCTAAAATGAAATACAAGATCATCCATTAAATTCCATTCAGTACTCTAGGTGTACTCATTACTTTGCCAGTACTCTTATATTGAAGTATTACGGAGTACGTACTCCTGATGCTAGTCGTCATCTGGAGACCTGAAAAACATTTTGATAACTGAAAAACTTAAAAGTTAAATTTAGCCAATCAATTTCGAACTAAAATAGGATTACGTTTGGCATCACCTACAATTATTTCTCAAAATACCATACCAAAGCTTACTTTCAGGCGTATCGATACTAAACACGAGATTGCTCCATAACCCGACGTACCATATGTCTACAATTTCATTTCCCACTGAACATTTCTCAAAACCCTTTACATTATATATACACTTCTTTATATAATGATCTGAGATTATTCGTTGACCTTTGATCAAATGAATTCAAAACTAAGCGAGTGTCAAAAACAACTGTTAGTTGCTGTCTGTAAACAAACATGGACCTATATACTAGAATATGTCATAACATTTTACTATTTTTAGCCACATTATATTTGGAAGGACGAACAGCTGAAGATGTATAAAAACAGTGCAACTTCACGTCATTACCGATACATATGCATCCATAATCCATCTGTATTGATTCAGGAAGTTTTTGATGTATATTATTCGCCTGTGAATGTCATGGACTGTCTGTTTCTTGCAGACAATGAACGCTTCCTTCTCTTCCGTCATTTTGCCGCATGAAGTTAGCACGGAAAATGAGAGTGACCTCCCCTCGACCACAAATCAAATTGTATGAAGCGTTCATAAAATATATTCGTTCAAGCCCAAGATTATCCAGTGCATCGTGTCCCCATTCTGTGCTGATATTTCATTAACGAGGATAAATTCATGCATGTTAGTGAAATCTGGACCACGTTAATCCGGATTCCCCAGCTATCGGGACGAACGCATGCTACCGACTTCCATAATGGCGTCTTTGAGTGGCACCAAACTTTAGGGGTGATAAAATATCTGAAATTTTCGGAGAATCTGAAGACTCCCCAGCATTGCAGCCTTCTGCATTACCCACATTATCAGAAGGGCTGTATTCCTGGTAGCCACCCCGGGTACTCTGCCAATGTCAGTCAACAGGTTGGGAGGTACCAAACCTTAGGCACCGAGAACAATGGGGAGTCGGACAACTTGGTACTTGGAATGCATGCGTGACTTTTCGAGGTCTGCATATTGTCCATGTTTTTCCTGAATCTTGTTAATCGCATTAGCGTCAAAAGGACAGAAAATTCAATAATATAAATGATTTCATTGGATTTATAAAAAAGGACAAGATCAGGTTTGTTGGCCTGGATACGTCTGAGGCTGTATACGGGCCTATTCCAAAGAATTTTGTATTTATAATTTTTCTTTCGCAAAGGGTCATTACTTCTTGATGGGCAGCCAAGCAAAACATGTTGTTTGGTGATATTGACTTTGATTTGAGCGCTGGTATTTAGCAATCCCAAAACAAGTGTTCAGTCCTTTCTTTGTCTGTCACAAAGGCTACACGTATAACTGTCTACATATCGTATTTTGACCGAGGGGCGGTCGGGTAGTCTTGTGGTTAAAGCGTTCGCTCGTCACGCCGAAGACCCGGGTTCGATTCCCCACATGGGTAGAATGTGTGAAGCCCATTTCTGGTGTCCCCCGCCGTGATATTGCTGGAATATTTCTAAAAGCGGCGTAAAACCATACTCACTCACTCACTCACTCTGTATCATTGCTGAATGTGACATAAGACAGCACTCAGTTCTGACTTGGAAGACATATTGTTGCATCACAACCCAGGTGTGTAGTACATGCTCACTGTATCGATCTTACTCACTCACTATATTGACCCGAGAAAATCCGGGGTAGCATAGATCTTCAGCAACCCATGCTTGCCGTAAAAGGCGACTATGCTTGTCGAAAAAGGCGACTAACGGGATCGGGTGGTCAGGCACGCTGACTTAGTTGATGCATGTCATCGGTCCCCATTGCGTAGATCGATGCTCATGATGTCAATCACTGGATTGTCTTGTCCAGACTCGATTATTTACAGACCGCCGTCATATAGCTGGAATATTGCTGAGTGCGGCGTTAAACAACAAACAAACATATCCTATTTTGAATAATCTATTATTAGTAGGTAGGAGCTGGGCTATCCAGTTTATGCCTAGATTTCCATGTTTAACCAATGTATATCGACAGGTTATTCACGTTCAACATTGGTGTCGACATTTAACATGGGGTTCACGTTTAGTATTTGTATTGACATTTAACATGGGTGCCTGCGTTTAGCATTATAATTGGTGTCCACTTTCCACTTTTAAAAAGGTGTACACATTATTAATGGTGTTCACATTTAACTCGGGTTTCGACATTTAACACGGGTGTCCACATTTAACACGGGTGTCCACATTTAACATAGGTATCCACATATATCACAGGTGTCCATATTTAACACAGGTGTCCACATATATTACAGGTGTCCATAATTAACATAGGTGTCCGCGTGTAACCTTTACATGTTTTTCTTGGTGGTCAGGTGAAACAGAGCAAGTTACGATGTAGGTCAACACGTGCAATATTTCCGTCGCAGTTTCGCCCTGTAATTTTCCACCACCTTCATTATCCTTCCTTCCCCGGGCCATGACTCACATCATCAATCATCCCTCACGGGTCACTGGCGACAGGACTAGCACAACGACCTCGTATAGACACACAATTGACGGAGAGAACGACACCCTGGCCACGGCGTCCCAGCTGACCCAAGACACGCTGATACTGATATAGCTTTGCCATGTCTTGGAGTCAGAAGACGTTCATCATGCCCAAGATATCACCTGACAATAATAATAAGGATACCAATGGCATTGTCCGTGTACAGGCTGTGCCAGTTTCTCTTTTATTACAGGATATATATGATACCGTCTGGATATTAGAGAGGACAATGCTAATAAAACAGAGGATAAAACGCAAACTAGTCTGTTCAAAATCATTACGCAACATATGTAAGCTGAACCTTGGTATTTTTACTTCTGTTTCAGAAAGGCCCTGGGGGAAATATTTCTCAGACATGAAACGTTTACTCGTTGAAAGCACAGCGAGCTTTTGTAAATAGTTTGGAAATACTGAATTAATGGTTGCAGCAAATAATGTAAACGAGGAAAGTTCCGAAGGAATTCGGTTGGTGTTTGTGCGTAAAACTCGTTCCAATCATTGTCCACCATCTCCATCATAACAGCCCTTGGGTATTCCTGGTTTAATTTGGTTCCCAATGCTGGTCGTGATGGAAGATTGCTGAGTGCGTCGTAAAACAAGAAACAAACAACTATGGGCATAATACCGGGACAGGGAGATGGGCATAATACCGGGACAGGCGGACTTTTTAATCAAATCGTGACCATATGCCAGAGTACCACGAACTACATAACACGTGAGTGAGTATGGTTTTACGTCGTGTTTTGGCAATATTCAAGCAATTTTACGGCAGGGACACCAGAAATAGGCTTCACAAATTGTACCCATGTGGAGAATCGAACCCGGGTCTTCGGCGTGACGAGCGAACGCTTAACCATGAGGCTACCCCTACTCTTCAGAGGAAAATAACAAGATGTATGGTACCCTACTCCTCAGAGGAAAATAACAAAATGTATGATACCCTACTCTTCAGAGGAAAATAACAAAATGTATGATACCCTATTCCTCAGAGGAAAATATCAAGATGTATTATACCCTACTCCTCAGAGGTATATAACAAGATGTATTATACCCTTCTCCTCAGGGGAAAATAACAAGATGTATTATACCCTACTCTTCAGAGGAAAATAACAAGATGTATGATACCCTACTCCTCAGAGGAAAGTAACAAGATGTATTATACCCTACTCCTCAGAGGAAAGTAAAACGATGTATGATAATCTACTCCTCAGAGGTATATAACAAGATGTATTATACCCTACTCCTCAGAGGAAAATAACAAAATGTATGATACCCTACTCTTCAGAGCAATATAAATAACAAGATGTATGATACCCTACTCCTCAGAGGAAAGTAAAACGATGTATGATAATCTACTCCTCAGAGGAAAGTAACAAGATGTATGATACCCTTGTCCTCAGAGGAAAATATCAAGATGTATTATACCCTACTCCTCAGAGGTATATAACAAGATGTGTGATACCCTACTCCTCTTTCTCCTCAGAGGAAAATATCAAGATGTATGATAGATGAGACCGCACGAATAACCGCCGAAAACATTACGCACAAGGATGGCTTGAATACGTTTGCGTAAAGGCCACATTGCTCCAAATCCCCACAGAGCGAACTCTGCAGAAGCAATCGCCTAACGGAGTAAAACTAAATATGTAAACTACATGCACATAACACACCTTTTAGCATGTTATTGCGGCAGGAAACGGTTATACATTGTTAGAGTGATGTCGGTACAAGAATGTAGCGTGGCTGGTATTTGCATGAGGTACTGTTATTTCAAATAGCCCCAAACTATTCCAGTTGTCCCTTCATACGTTAATTATGTTTGCTGGGTGTACTTTAACTCCATGTTGTACATGTGTATCGCAGGATCTGCTGTAGGTGAGAGTGTTACGGTTATATGCGACAACACAAGCTAGTACAAAACTTACAGTGGTTATATGGGGTAGAACAAGCGTTCTGCGCTTACCAAGTAAATGGTCTACCTGGGGAATGCGGGTCGGAGTTGGGCTCCAGTGCTTACTTTAATGAGGAGTGAGTGAGTGAGTTGGGTTTAACGCCGCTTTTAACAGTATTCCAGTTACATCACGGCGTGTCAGCTTTATGTGGGAGGAAAGCCCAAAGTGGTGCAGGTCTCAGACGTTTACCACTTCGGTGAAACCCACGAGCACGGGTATGGTGCTAACAAACCTAGAAACATAATCGCGGCGAACCGGGATTCGAACCCACAATCATAGGTTTCTGGTGTGCCTAGGGGACGCAACTGTGCACAGCGAATCGCGGCGCCTTAGACGACTGGGCCACCCGTGCCCCCTTAATGAGGAGTAGTTAGACTGTGTGACCTGACTCACTGTGTGCCACCGTGGAGCGTCGTGGAGCATCGTGGAGCACCCTGTCTCGTTGCTTATACAACAACTGAAGTAAATTGTTCACATACATGTAAATATGTATACTATAATGGATTGTTGAATGGCCGCCGTCGCAGTGATGTAGCAAGGATATTGCTTTACCGGAAAACAACAATCACTCTTTTACTTACATGAACCTAAGAAAGTTGCTAAGACGAGAGAAAATATACTTTTATTGCATAATTCCGACGCATCATCCTAACGTATTAATCTAAGCTCCTGTTTGCCATACTAAAGTATCTATTACTGGATGGGGAGTGGTGTTGTGACAGGCGTATCGTTACAAAACGTGCTGCTCACATCTCGATCAATAAAAGTTTATAGCAATAAACACGTGACAATGAGGTCATGCAACTGTCACACATTTTTCACGTGGAGGAATAAACACATGTGCTAAAGATGGACACATTTTCTGAAAGACATGCATGGAATTCCAGGTATATAAGACGAACAGTGTTATGACTATTTCTTCAGGAGTGTTGTGTCACTCCGCCCCAGTGACGTTATATTAAGTATTACCGTTAGCTAAAAGGATTCGCAATTTCTAACGCAGAAAGTCACTTAAATACTCATATGAATTAAACAAGCAGGCGTAAACA